AACTGTATGGGCAATTTCAATGTTATCTATTTCTGTGACCGTACGAAGTGTATTATTATTTTATAGTTAATTTTAATTGCAAAACTGTCGAGATTAGGTAAGTATTTATTTCAATGTATATAAACAGTAGGTAGCCATATATTGAGATTTTAATTTTTGTTATTTTGGTGGGCTGTATTTTTATTTTAGAGGGATGTAAAGTGTGTGAATATATGCATATAAGTGTGATATGTGTTTGCGCGTTTTGTGTGTTGTAACTTCGTGTAAGTACATTGTGTGTAAGTAAGATATATATGTATAGTATGTGTATTTGTGTGTAAGTAAGATATGTATGAATGTTGGAATTACGTTTTTTAAATAAATAGATAAGCATGACGGCTGGGAAGTTATAGTTGCCAATTGAGTAAATCTTCAACCAGCAATCGGTTAATTCCAAATTAAACAGTACTAAAAACATCTTCAATGTTAAAAATAGACAAATTATATAGTTAGGTGCGAATAGTCATTTATTAAGTAAAAGGTTATGTACCTGTTCTTCGGTGCTTATAATTATAGTTGGCGAATTTTCGTCCTTTTTAATGTAAACCTTGCCGTAGGCGGTCCAGCAAAACTTGTATATTCCAGTTTTAGTGAGATCCCGTGCCAGAAAGTGGAGGCGGGAGCTTTTAGCCGTCAAATGTTCCGATATGAAGACCGGGGTGTCTTCTTGACTTTTAAGCCCCATGTGTTTGCAACTCAACTTATTTTGATGTTTTGTGTTGAAGGCCTTCGCCAATTTCAATGTCTCAGTCTTGAGGATTGTGGAGCCGATTTCCACGACAATAGGTGTGTTCTGTTTTTCCGCTGTTTTTCCGCGAACTCGGTATATGTCCTTAATGTCGTTTAAGAAATAACTGCATATCGAAAAGAATTTACCTAACCTAAGTAAACGGTACTATCAGATACAAAAATATTTGTTTTCTGCATTTGATAACGATTATCTGTGTCCAGTATCAGGTAAGTAATAACATTTGTTATAGTTTTCACTGTAGGTATCGAAACCTGTGACTGTCACCAAATGTACCAAAACTATATACCTAATGGAACGAAACATATCAATTGAATACCTGTATTCACTGTTTTAAATAAGTAGAATAACTATGAGAAATAAAATTATAAAAAGCGTATTTACAAGAATGTCTTCTTTCTATACCTATAGATATACATATACCTTCTTACTCATTTATATATATACTAACTATCAATAAGCAACGCTGTACGTACTGTTAACAATTACATAATATATGTATTATGTTATTGTAGAACCCAATTATGGTGTCTGATGAGTGACTTTATCTAAAATTAAAGACAGTTAAAACATGCCATTGCATTTTGAATCTTAAAGATCAATTAGGTCCTAGGTACTACCCTGTCTGAAAACGAACATGCTATACATACTGGTCAATAAATTCGCAGTCGTAGGTAGATACAGTCCAATTCCCAAGTAGGACAAAATAAGTTTTTTGCAGTGTTCGGCGCAGCGTTTGGCAGAGGTCACCCCATATTAATTACCTACATTATTGAAGCTATAACTAACTGATGAAAAGTGCCATAGCGTAGAGGTCGGGGGGTAGTCAGGGGGACCCCTTCAGGGATTAAAGGAAGTGATTATGTCTATTGTATTATTATATAGGTAGATTTGGGTATGGTATCAATAGGCATCTACATATTCAAAGATAAATCTAATCAAACCCAAATTGAGTTCTTCGAAGATGCTGTTGAGCAATCTCTACGAAAGTAGATAGGTATTGTAGTAGGTATCTAGAGTTTTTTTAAGGGGGTCAAATCATCGAATGACTGCTCCCACCTAGGTGAGGCGGGAGGGAGTGTTAGACTCTTACTGACTAAAAACCACCTCGTTCCTTCTCCTGCACGTCGAGCCGAAGCCCCCGTTACCCGTTAAGTTCTCCGCGACTCCGAATCGGCATCGGCCCGGTTGGGCTATTTGAGGCGCGCGCGGTACGCGACGCGCCGTACGCTCGGGTCTGTTTCTGGTCGGACGGGGAGCCACCCCTGCTCGCCGTCCGCCGCACAGGTTCGGCGCCCACACAGGGGCGCCGTAGAGGGCCATGGACCGCACGACCCCAGCGTATAACCTCCGGCAGGAGGCGTTTGGCCCCCCGAAGTTGGGGAGGATGCGCTTGAACGCAGCCCCCGCCCTCTCCAACTTTGGAGCCAAACGTCGGAAGTGCTCCATCAATTTCCACCGACTGTCGAGGACGAGTCCTAGGTACTTCATCGCCGTCTCGACGTCGATGGTAACCCCTCCCGCCGTTATTTGGGACTCACCAGGAGGTGGCGCGTTCCCGCGGCCATGAAAACACATGGCCTCGGACTTGTGGAGCGCCACCTCGAGACCCAATTGCCGGATTCTCTCAACGACTGTCGCAACCGCTGTTGCCATTAAGTCGGCCGCCGCCTGGTGCGACCTCCCGTGCGCTAGCATCAGCGTGTCGTCGGCGTAGCATATAATGCTAACGCCGTTCGGGACGTCGGTGCGCAGCACCCAGTCATAGCCGATGTTCCACAGGAGCGGCCCCAGAACCGAACCCTGTGGAACATCCACCACGCGGTGTTCCGCGTGACATCTCTCGCCGGTTCTATTCGCCCAGGTACCTAGAGTAGAAATCTTATATTCAATACATGAAATCGAAACAGGAACCGCAAGAAAACTACACCGAAGCAATACAGAATGGATTCAGAGACAATCTTATGCAATTAGGTACGTAAGGTATAGGTACCATATACATCAGACCACCACAGATGGGGCCCAATAGGGCCGATGCCGATTCGGAGTCGCGGAGAACCTAACGGGTAACCGGGGCTCCGGCTCGACGTGCAGGAGAAGGAACGGGGTGGTTTTCTTCCCCCCTTAAAAAAAAAAAAAAAGGTATAGGTACATACTTTTATTGTAATAACATTACTTGTGCATAATAAGTACAAAGGTAATTATAGAACACATACATAGTTTTTTTTATATCTAATCACCTAATGGTAAGCAATCGGCGCTGTCCATGGACATCAAAAATGCCAGATGAGTTCAAGCGCGTTGCTGGCTTTTTTGGGAATTGGAGTAGGTAGAGGGAGAACCTCACTCATTCACTCGTGCAGGTTTGTTTTACGCCGGTTTTCTGGGAGGGTGTGGTATTGTTCGTACTACCTACATATTGTATACCTTCTATATGGAAGTATTAGTAGGCACACCTAGGTACTGCAACAAATAAAAAGACAGTAAAGTATTTGTAATATGTCTCTTTATTTAAATAACAACTAAATATACAAATAATTTAGAAATATTTTAAACACTGAAAATAGAACATCTATTACACATGAAGACTTGATTATAATTATCGGCCGTTATTAGGAATACATGATAGAAGATAGTAATTACAAACCTACTCTACTACTTATCTCTTGACAAAAATCTCGATAATCTACTAGTGCAAGGTCATGATGTTAGTACGGCGTGTAATACTTTAATGTAACAAACCCTATTGTGTACATTACAAAGAATCTTACCCTATTAATTTATATTTTACATAACTACATGTTGGAATAAACTTACGCTGAATCAAGCCTGCTTTATTGTTAATCTATTGATTTTAATAGATAGTTACATACTAGACACAATGCAATCTACTCCAATCTGCCCAGTTGCATCACTTCAACACAGTATTCAGTAACAGAGCAATACTATTTTCAATAAAATAACAATCAAATACTATTTTTGGAAAAAATGTAACAATATTACCTACTGAATAAAATCTGCTACTATCAAATTTTGCTAAGTACATCAATACACATTTATTATGCTAAACCGTGTTGCAGAAATCACAAAGGATAATGTGCAATTACATACTTAAAACAGGAAACTTGCGTGCTTTAACCACAAATGGAACATGTATTATAAAGGTTTCACCTACATAGCAAACACGTAACGAATTATTCATATTTGATACATCTCAACAATTAATATTTTTTAAACCAAATATTTTAACAACTACTGTGCTTGTTTTATTGTTAATTTATAATTCTATTTATCACATTTTAATTAACCTAGATAATATGACTATACTAAATACAAATACATCCACAAATAAATAGTAGTAACTTTAATTAATAATGAAATAAAATTCGAATAGCAATATGAAAGCAAAGGTAAAGTCCCTTTTCTTTATACTATGGTAAAGTCATATTATGATGGAAATGTGATTTTTGATAAATATTTAGCACAAGTATGCCGTGACTAGGTAGGCAAATTTTCACGTATACCCTCTAATGACTTACTCTATTACCAGTGGCGAAACTATACCGTTCGAGGCCCGTGACAAATACATCGCTTAGGCCCCGTTCCCTAAAAAGAGTTCCCCTTAAAAGAGAAAAGTTCAGATGAAAAATCTTTGAATGGGAATCCCCCTTCTAGCTGGGGACCCGTGGCAAGTCAGCATTAGTGTAGCAAGTCAGCAAAATGCTGACTTGCTACACTAATGTAGTTCCCCACTGACTAATACTATTTTAAAAACAACGAAAACAAAAGTCGTGTATGTATGTATGTACCTGTGGTGTATATTAAGCTATGTCCATCTCAATCATTCAATCTAATTACACAAAACGAGGCGTAGTGTGTATATATATATTTCAAATACTCATATATATTATGGTTCCTAACAACAATAAGCAAATGAAACATTTTCCACTTAAGGTGTGCTAGAATACGTTATGTATAAGAACGGTGATTTGTTTTAGTGGTAAGTAATTCATGTGATAAGAGGTACTTCAAACTGACTTACATATCAGCAACTTACAAAAAAACAGCATTCTCAAATTTTTTTTCCGCTGCCTATAAAACTTTTGGATTCGGTACATTCGGTACCTGAATTATTCTAGAGGATAATGCTTATTATAAGATTCCATGTGCATTAAATCTTTTTCTTAAAACTTTCTTCTCTCAATTCTGTGTATCAAACTTTCGTGTCTAGTTGTTGAACAATTTGGTTTGAAACTACTTTCGTAGCTATAGAAGCATTTGGGATGAGGAAGCGATCCATATCTTTTATTAAAAGATTATCACCATCTGGTACTCCATACTTGAAGGTAATTAACTCTGGATGTCTCTTTTTTGCAGTTATTTTAACGATAGTTGACAATGGCCTTCGAGACATAATTTTCGCGGCTCCTTTTTTATTAGGTATGTCTCGTAGAACAATCAGATGTGTTTCAGACACTACCAAATAAGAATCATGCATGTAGCCATTAAGCAAAACCTCTTGACACGGGAAACTATCTACTACATTATGTTCCTTTACGTAAGATTGTAACTCGACAATTTCTTCTAACGAATCTGAATCTGTATAATCTCGCCTCAGACTGTCTGACCTTGAATCATCGTCTTCGTCATTTATGCTAAACACTGGAGGCACATTTCTGTACCTTTGCTCTTTCCTATCTCCAGCAGAAACATGCCACTCTCCATTATTGTATGTTGAGTTTGGATTTACAATATACTCAATCAACTTTCCTCTGACCTCTTGGCTCTTGGCTTTCATTGCTGAAGATAATTTGCTAAACAACTGTTTAGCTGGAATATTATCCTTTACCTTGGTTTGGTGTGTTTCTACACCCTCATTATTATTATTAGGTGCACATACTAAACAAGTAGATGGGTTGTGTTCTTCCAAACAGTCAGTCATATGTGGGCCAAAGTAGTCATGGATAGCAACAAAACCTCCATCTAACATGGAGACATGTTTAGTATTTCTTTTTAAGAAGGATGCTACCACCATATGTGCATAACTATCCTCTTCAGTCCTACCTGAACCTACAAAACAAAGGTGTTCTCCAGCAGCCAGAGAGCCAGCGGCTAGTGCTTGGCGTTGTGCATTCAATAATCCTTGGACTGCTGTATTAAATGCTGAAGGTTCTTGTAACATCAAATTACAATCAAGATGGAATGCTGTTGACAGGTGGCCAGCATTATATTGCTCAGCTGGGCGACAGTCTACCAAAAAGAATTTCACACTGTCACTGTTACCAGAATCTAGAGTTGCACTTTCAATCAGCTCATGTACAGCTACAGGAAGACATAGTGCTTGGGAATAAAGCTTAGAGTTTATTTCTACTCCACTATCTGAGAACAATACTTCTAATACATCCTCCCGGAACGACAGAGGAGTTTTTAAGGAGTAATAATGTGCAAGTGAACAAAAATCAGAAACATCATTGGCTTCTAGGTCTGAAGGCATCTGAATTAAAGTTTGAATTATTGCATCCTTATCTTCATTTTTCATTTGCAATAGTTGTTCTCTAGCATTAATAACCATTATCAAGCATAGGAAGAATATGAAGAAAGGATCAGACCTTTGGAAATACAAATCCCACATAAAAAGCACTACCTCCAAATTACATGTACCAGAAAAAAGTGATCTTAACCATGACATACAATATTGTTCTGGAGTTATTCGTTTTGTATCTAAAAATGAACAAAGTTCTGGATCATGATACTGTAAGATTAACCGTAGTATATGAAATGGTACTCCATTTTTCACACAGCCTTGGGGAATATATAGTTTTAAAACTTTTTCAAACAAATTGTATGTATCAGATCTGGGTAATTTTAAACTCAATAAAGGTAACAAGATTTCAATCCAGCCATTGTTGGCACTGTAGTTGATAGATTTAGACTTACAATAAAAAGTTATTATTGATTCGATATCAGATATTACTGATAGTTTATCATCATCATCATTGCCAAGTCTTTTCACAAACTTTTTCACATCATCCCTGAGTTCATTTTGATTAGTAAGATCAAATATTTCATCAAAGGAAAGTAGTTGATTGCCTGCTTCTTGGCAGTTTAAACAAAGAAGCCACACGTCTGGGCGTAAACTTTCAGGTATCTTCTTGCCTTTAGTGAGCAAATTTATTTCTTGGGCTGAACAACCATCCAATAGGGCAGATTCCAACTCGATTAACCTGAAATGTGATTTAATAAGTAGATGTACAACAATTTTTATAGCAATTTAAAAATAATATAACGGAAAATAAATGTCATTAGGCACAAAATATATCAAGTATAGTACTTGTTATACTAAGTCTATTAATAATTGTGAATAACTTATAAAAGAATACCCAGCCATGAACAGTAAATAATATATAGCAGATGGAACATTTTATTACTTGTCTAATTACCTACTAAGCATGCAACACAAAATATGATGACTAATCAAGTGGATACGGAAAGATAACAGTTTTAAGTAGGTACAGTTTGTAATAATAGATATTTACCATGTACTGTCGTCTTCGTCGCTAGCCATCGCATTAAGTTTTCCTAATACTGAAAATTCCTGATAACACTCTTCAATTTGTAGGCACAGGATATTTCCACAGTTGCGACAATATTATTTATACTGTTCCACACACAACACTATGACAATCTTTTTACACTAAATTTCAAACTAAAATTATGTTTGAAGACAGTTGTAATCAATTAAAATCAAATAGAAATATCGTAGTATCAGAGACCTACTGTCACTATCTAAATTATATTTGACTTGTGATTGTGACAGTTCTCAAGTTCCTTTTCTTTACATTTTGCTGTTGTAGCTGATTCTGATCCAACACCATCAAATTAATCTTACCATAAACAAATGCTAGGGTAATTTGTAATTTGAACTTTATGTCAAAGGAATAGTATTTAATTTAACAATGATAAAGTACCGCTACTACACACTCACACACGCACAAACGTACATGTCACTCTTTTATTGTCTACAGTTAGTCTCATATATTGTATAGTCTATGGTTAGTCTGGTTATCGCACATTTTTATTTTGTAGTAGACACCGGTTTTTTGAGTTCTTCATTGCATTTTATGGTTATGATATGAATAAATACTTTTGGGTATTATATTCTGATCAGGAAATATAATTTTTATTTTGTTACATTATAAACTTAATAATTTTATTTGGCATGTTTATTGATGTTAATATACTCTATACTCTCTCTTGGTTATGGAATAGATAGAAATGACATTGACATTTATGAAGTCCGCTAGTTTTATTTAGTAATCTAGTGCTAGAAGAACTAGTTTTTGTTTAATATTCCTAGTTTTAGGCTTTTTAATTAAATGGGCGGATAATACGATTTATCAATATGCATATTAGACTCTAAGGCCTTAGAATTCGTAACAAATTGACTGGTATTAAAACCACTTCATTCATTATTCACTACCAAACCAAGTTTTAGTAATTTGAAGAAAAATGAAACAATGTTCTAATTTATTTCCTAATAAAGAAGCTTTTATTATTTTTGCCCTGTACATCATTCTCTTCGTATTTCAAGGTAAGTTTCATATTTTAACATTAAGTTTAAATTTTAAAACAGCAATCAAATAAAATAATAATTCAAACAAATATAAGATAATAGTAAAGGATATACTGCTGATGACTAATTTGATAAACGGTTATCAGAGTATAGCAGACACGAGAATACTGCTGAGATAAAAGCCACAGACAAAATTATAACTATAAAGTTTTAATTACACTTGTTTTGTTTTAATTTTAGTACATAGCATAATCTTTAGCTATTAGGTATAGCAATATATTAATAATATTTAAGTACCTGGCTACACTAAAAATGAAATTATTCTATAGGGATTCATAAAATTTTGTTTTGATTGACATAGATCAGCCATAAACAAGCCTGTTGCTAACAAACAGTGAAACCAATAGCAGTTCTAAATAAACTTTCTAGAATTCTTGCTAAAATATTATAAATATGATCCTACTGTCATCCTACTACTAATATCCACCCATGACTTAATTTTTATAATGATAGTGCTGATGGTGTAGTAAGCAACCTCTCCTAAATCACCATCCTGTTTTCTTATTTGTGTTCATAAATATTAGACCACTAAATAACTTAACTTTTCAATCCCCAAGCGGCCACCGGTGACCACTCTTCACTAACTCCATTTTAGACCTTATTTCCGATGTTGAGCAACTACTTTTGTATGAACATTTTTTTGGTACAATATATCAACATTTTAACACATGACAACAAAATTATATTAATGTCATGAGGTAGGTATATAGATACTACTATATTACTAAAGGAATCTCTTCCTATAAACAGGAAAAACAATAATAACAAGAGACTATCAAACAAGAATATGTACCTATTTTTCATTTTCATTTCCTATCATCACACCTACTATGCTATTCTGAACTGCACAGTGTTTGATAAGAGTAATTGGATTTGTTCTATAACATAGCTAATTAAAAATGCATAAAAACTCAATGACCAATTAAACACACTGTTTTATTCTGAAACTATAAAAACTATATACATTGGTTGGATTTTTTTTTAATTACAGGTAAATGAACTGTGAAACATATTTATAAACTAGCTTCTGCCTTCACTCTACTTCCCATAGGAAAAAAGTAGCTTATGTGTTAATCCAGACCATTATTTACCCCTATTCCAAATTCCACTCCCATCCCTTCAGCTGTTTCGGCATGAAGAAGTGACAAACATACATACTTTTACACTTATAATATTAGTATGATAGGTACTCTAAAATGAATATACATTTTGTTGAAGGTGACACTCATTTACCTGCAATTACTGAAATGACAATTCACAAATGTGCAAAGAAGAATAGCCTTTATGTATTAACATCTAGTCATTTTCTCTGTTGTGTCATCTCAACTCTTTGTGTGATCCACAAATTGGTATTCCGTTTATGGGTGTTATGTATATGTTTGTAAATGCACCCACGGCGCAGGAAAAAGTCCTAGTGTAGGAAATAAAAATAATACAAAAAGTTATAAAACATTAGTTTTAATAAGTAGGTAAGTATTTGCTTGTTTATAAACTTCAAGGCAAGTCAAAAACATTTTTGAAAACAATACCTAGTCGTACATAGGAACCAAAGCAATGACTTGTAACAATCAGTATGGTTACTGTTTTCAGTTTCATACTACAACAATGAATGCAATGTTTTTAATCTTGTTTTTCAGTACAGGCTATATAGCGGCTTCATTGCTTGCTATAAACTTTCCGTGTATACAAGTATATTAATTTTACGCATAAACAATATTACACCATAATGACGTACAGCAAATAATTTATTACATTACATTCAGAAGTGATTTTTTCAAATAAGGCTGTCGAAAATTAGGATTATCTATGTGATGCAGGTATACTTGACCTTATCTTCTACTAAATTAAACACCAAACACATAATTAAACACTAGTACCAATACTGAACATAATTTAGGTACAGATTTTTTAAAACATAGTATAAGTAGTAGGAACACAATATGAAGGGTTAAACAAAGGAGCTTATAATAAACGCCACATGTACTTCTCACTAGTTATAGGTACTATGAGTGTAGCCAGTAGTGTACCTATAGATGTAGTACAGAAGCCAATTAAACGCGTCTCGCGGCGCCCTCTGTAACCTGGTGCCCTAGGCACTTGCCTAGTTTAGCTTTAGGGATAATATGGTTCTGATGTGGTAAGCCTTTTGCTACCTATATACCGAACACAACTCCAGATTTCATGCTAGTACCTAGAACCTAAAAATCCAACAGTTTTATGTTACACACTGCACGGGAATCGAACCCAAAGAACCTTGCTTGCTAGGCGGTCAACATATTATTATTATACCTACATGATAAATTAAAAGCTATTAAACATAAGACTAGTCTGTGACACATGCACAAACAGTAGCAAGAGTGTAAACATTAAACGTTCTTGTTTATTTCCAGGTGTGTTTGTAACTGCATCAAAAACAGAAAATGGCGACTATGACTACAATACGACACTCGTGGTTTTCCTATCAGAACTACTTAAACTGTTTGCATCGGCATTCTTGTACACATACAAGAGAGAGTAAGTAGAATTTGCAGTTTCTTAATATATTTTACTAACTACTCCCGCGTGGTTCTATGCTCTGTACAGCTCCTATTTATCACAGCGTGATGTTTTATAGCCTATAGCCTTTCTCGATAAATGCATTCGATATCCAACACAAAAATAATGATTCAAATCGGACAAGTAGTTTCGTTGATTAGTGTGTTCAAACTTCGACTTTATTTATATTTTAATAATAAAAGTCGTATAGTGTACTTTTTTAACCGATTTCGTGGTAACTACTCATTTTGACTAGGTAGGAATTTATTATCTAGTTATTCAATAAAAAGTAGCGACTAGTATGCTAATAGCCACCGACATAGGTAAAATTAGGTAGATAATATTATCTTGAACAAGTTAATAGATTCGTGTAAGTAACCAAGCATAACTATCGCTACGTTATACCAAAATGTAGAAATAACAATAAACAGAGAAAGCATTGACCCCGACTCCATCCGCATTATGGGTAGGATGACGGAATAGTCTATTAAGTGTGGTATGTGTTGTAAAAATTGACTGATAACGAAAAGCGATTAAAGGCTGGTTGACATTTCATTTATTTAGAAAAAAGAGTGTATTCCTTTTTATAAGGCCGATGGCAACACACTTATGATTTCTCTTCTTATGTTGCCGGGGTCCATCGGCGGTGCTCATCGCTTAGGTACTATCAGGTGATTCGTCTGACCAGATACTATATGCATCACAACCACAGCGCTGCAGTGGCCCAATAAATCTACACAGACATTTAGAAGACACAATTATTTAATTGTGCCCGAAGCCTCAACGTCTATATTCGTATATATTTATATACGAATACAAACTATCGAAACTCGAAACTTACTTAATTGTTTACAGAATACGGAACCGAATTTAAGAGTGTGTTACTTGCAATTGCTATTCTTTGTTAGTAACAAAGTACATAATAATATAAAGTCATGTGGTTTTGAGCAATAGCCCTCTGTTATGAGGATTCAACGGTTTTTACGAATGTATCTACAGATTGTGCAGTTTGCATATTTATATTGTCATTGTTATAATTATAAAATGGTTCTAATTAAGTATGAAATTGTTCTTCCGAGCTTCGATATCGAATTGGTGTGTTACAGAATCGCACTGTTGTTGGTCCAAAATAACATACTCCTAACTTAAACTAACGAAAGTAGGCAGAAACTAAAGAGCTCCACTTACTGCATGTACTTATTGATTATCTACTTACCTATGTATTGATTTTGTGGTGGAAATGTGTAAATCGACACTAATCGGCAGTAATAACATAGTTGAACCAGTAGCTTGAGTGTAAACCGTAGAATCAGATATCTATCGGTGAAAATGTCTGTCTGACCTAAAATGAACCTGCTTTACTTATTAAAAACTATGAAAACTAATTTATTTATTTTATAAGTAGACAATAGACATACCTATTGCCCATTTTACATTTTGGGAAAATAAATGTAAGGTAGTCAAAGTCAAAGCACTTATTTCAATTAAACCATAGTTTGGTACTTTTGAAACGTCAACAAATACAAAATAAATAATAGTCTATCAGTCAGTCCGTCAGTGAAACTAGGTGAAGCTAGGTGCTCTTTCCAAAATGTAGATTCGAATGGAGAAGAACGAGCAAGAAACTCCATTCGTTACTCTTTTTAAAAAAGTATGTTCTACGTGTAGTTACTATGTACCTCTAGTTAGGATGGACAGCCGTACTAACATTTCACCTTCACTCTAATTCCTTACTAGATACTAAGCGTATTGATTCACATTTTACATAGTACCTATTCATGGCATGCTATTGGAGAGGCCTTTGCCCAGCAGTGGACGGAAACAGGCTAATGATGATTATTCACTTTGTCAAAGATGTCTTTTGTTTTATTAAGAATGCAAAGAGAACCTTTTAAATTAATTTTTCAGCGTTTGTAGAAAAAGCAATAAACCTTACGTGGTTTATATGTAAGTACCTTTAATAATACTAATATTTAATTCTTTTTCTTTATTCTAAGCTACTCGGGGACGGCACCATCTTTTCTTTTTACTTGACTGCTTAATAGAGAAATGTTCATTAGATAAGTTGACGATTAATACCTACTGATCGGATGGATTCAGGCGTCAAATTATCCAATGAAAAATCTTTTATATCATTCCTCATTGCCATGTTACTTCAAAGAAGTATCTAGTTCTTTTTTTACACGCATGCACATTGACATTCAGCACCGACGCGGCTTCGCGTAGTTAGAATATAATTATGTAGATCTATACGCGACAAGTTATCCTTACTTAAAATATTAACTACAGGTACAGGAAGCGTTTTCATCACTATAATAATTAAAATACTACATATTTTTAGATTGCTTGCGAGCTGTAGCTCTATTAATTTTTAGCAAACGAGAAAATTTACTCTGTTTGTACTGGAATATTTAGAATCTGATTAATTATAAAATTATCTTAAAAACCAGTCTAAGAGGCTATGTGGTTTACCTTGAACACCGAATCATGTTCCAATATTGGCCTATATAATGTAGAAAATAGTAGATATTATAAAATAAAATGTGCATGTATGTTCAGGTATAAATAGGTATGTACCTATTTATGTACTTATTTATATAAGCCAGTAAGTATGTACAAAGCAAGGACTTTAAGTTTCAGACCCGATTCCTATGATTATTGTATTGTTCGATTCGACGCGGTAAAAGTAAATATAGATTTAACCTTACCTAGTAAGTAGGTACCTACTTCCCGAAAATTAGTTATTAATTTATAACTTTATAAACATTTTTCCTAACGCAACCTACTTAAGTTTACAATAAGCTAAGATTAGCTTTGGCGTATCTTAAAAACCACAATACTCACGCATCTGATCACACAAGCGTGCCAGTTGAGATTGCGCACCAGGCCTTTTTTTAGAAAAACTGCAAAATGTGAACTATAAATTATGATCTTCGAAAGATGCATTCCATCAAGTGTCCACCACTAACATACTGCATAAACTTAATTATTATGTTTTCGTCTTACCCACGTAATTATTTGACGAGGAACGCGACTAGTTTCAAGCCATGCTAGAGACTCATATTCAGAGCAGCATTCCGCGACCCGCGACGCGGCGACTGTCGCGCTGCTACTCAGTAGCAAACATAATAATTAATTTAGTATGTCTCACGAAAGTTATAACTTATAATATAACTTAAAAATTTGTTTAATCCTATCGTTCAATCAATTATATATCAAAACCACCATCGTTTTAGCTACAGAAATCTCAATTTATTCTTATTAGCACGTCTGCACGTCATCTTTAGTATTGCAAGGTTTTCTTATCAAGTACTTACATAATTCTTCATACTCAGTCAAAGTGACACCGCACGTACAACCTAGGAAATGCATTTCTACCGTCTTAGCTCTATTTAGCTCTGCTTGCTTTTTGTTACTGTTTGCGCTTCTTCTGCCCAATCATAGATAAGGTAGTGTTGGCACTGAAACACGGTCATACCCAGTCGAAGCACATTGTTTTCCATATACACTTATATTTTGACATCGGCATGTGGTCATGTCCTTTGAATATACCTGACTCAAGAAAGTCAGCAGTTAATGATAATAATAAATAATAAGTAATAAATAAAAAGTATTTATTGTAACAAAAACATTAGACACACAGTTTATGGATGCTAACATCTAAACTAGGCCGAGCCTCAAGCCTGTACCTTAGATGTTAGTTCCTTCCAATTGAGACAGTATATTATATACAATTTATAGTAATGCTGGAACCCGAAGTTAACCTTAACCATCGATATCGATGACTTCAACAAATTCATCCGATGTTAAATGACATCATGATCCATTCCTTGAGGTCCTATCTTTCATGAGGATAACTCCAATATCCAGACAGATGGAACATCACAAAGTATTTGCCATATACCTATCTGTTGCTATGGTTCATCGTCCATGATAATAAGAGACTCCCTCTCATTATTATTATCGTTATTATTCATCATTTGAATTGAAGTACATACTTCATTTATGTAACTTTTCTTTGTCATAGTCATTATTTCATGCATCCTTGCACATTTAGTGAAGCTAAATTTCGCAGCCCGCTTTTCGTCCCGTGAGAACAAATCGTGTGGTGTGTGACGAGTATCCAACTATCCACCACTGCCGCCTCCGAGTTGGTTGTTACTAGAACTCATGCTGTTCCCATGAGCTAGGAATATCCTCTGTCTACCTCTACTGACTCCGCACATTGAGGTAAGGTGCCTTAGTGCCTGGGGAGATTGGACCCAGCAACATGCACGCTAACGAGTAGACTCCTCTCGGCATGAAGACCTTAGGGAAAATTGTATTTGGGACCTTCCGATAAAATTATTCTTTTTCTCTCTCAATTTCTTTCTTCATAACCCGTCAACACAGTAAATCTCAACGATAAAACTAGTCGAAATTAATAGTACCACTAAAATAAATCTTATAAAATTTTGTTTACGGTTTGTTAGTTGGTACTGGTACCCTTTCGAACTTGATGTCAGTATCGATGGTAGCTTAAATTTTCGATTAGGTTACTTCTTTGCGTCATAAATAAATTTAGAAATTACCTAATTATGTTTTTTTATATTTTCAGAAATAAACCACATCTGTTCAAGGCTATTGTTATGAACTATGAGCTCCTGTTGATGTACTTCATCCCATCACTGTTGTACTGCTTTTACAACAACTTGGCGTTTATAAACCTGTCCCACTATGACCCCACTTCGTACTACATTCTATTGCAGTTCCGAGTGGTATTGACAGCTTTACTCTTTCAGGTATGTAACAAAGACTACTTACAGCAAATTTCACTATCTCTAGATAGTATACAACGACAATAAATTACATTTTGTTATCTGCCAGTTACAGTACACAGTCACACAGCAGAAACGTATAGGGCACATGTCAAACAGACTCAGTACCTACCTACCTATAACAATTTTGCAATAATTGTATTATGTAATAGATATAATTATTTAGTATAAAGTACTAGGTATGAGCTCCTGACATAGGAGACCATACCTAACGTACAATATGTATAATACAAGTGATTCATACATAGTTGTTAAATCTACGAAATACTATTTTACTAACTATTTATTCTATGCAAGATTTGTTTAAACTGAAAGTAATATTCGAAATTCAAATACAATTAGAAAGAACAATCGGAACTTATTCTATTGTGATAATGTAAGGCTTCGAAGGTCAGAAGACAATCGCATAATAAATCATAATAATTTATATTATGAATAGACATGCCAGTATTGGGATAAGAGGCGGATTGAGCCTAGAAAGCGCCCTAGGTACTTGCCTAGTTTGCCTTATAATACGCCTCTGAATGGGGCATACTTAAATAATCATATTTAACTGTTTTTTAATAATTAGGTATATGCAATAATAATTATTATTTTATACCATATCCAAATAATGTACCTATAGATAATGTACCTACTACAACGTTATCTGTATTTGCAGTTACTCACTGTCATGTTTAAGTTAACGTCTGCAAAACTAGAATTAATATTATTTTCATTTTCAGTTCTTGTTCAAGAAGAAACTGGCTTTTATGCAATGGATATCACTAGGCATACTGACACTTGGATGCATGATTAAAAATTTCGACGCCGCATCAATACAATCGAAAGACGAGACCGATCTCTGGTCACAATTATTCAATATTTATTTCTTATCTATAAATTTCCAAAATTTTTGTTCTTGTCTGGCTGGTACATACAATGAATATTTGTTGAAAACGAAAGGTTCTAATGTTGATATATTCTTACAAAATGTTTTCATGTATCTGGACTCTGTCCTCTGTAACTTCTTTATTTTAATGTTCAAAGGTGAATTGGGAACAATATTTGAAGATTTCAGTTCATTAGGTAACATTTTTGTAATACTTATAACCATTAACAGTGCTGTGGTTGGCATAGTAACTAGTTTCTTTTTGAAAAATTTAAATTCAATTTTGAAAACATACGCAAGTGCGTTAGAGTTGGTGATAACAGCTGTAGTATGTTATATACTATTTAGTATTGTGATAACACCGTTTACCGTGTTATCAATTTGTCTAGTCAGTATCGCTGTTGCTATGTATTTTAAAAATCCAGTAAGTAATGTCACAATGAATTTAAGTGATGCTAAGGATAAAGAACCGCTTTTAGAAGTAACTTCAAAATAATTAAATAAATTAGATCTTAAACTAATTGTGTCATAGTTCCTTATGAAATTAGATCTTTTGTAATTTTACAACCCTATGAAACTAGTTATATCGAGTGGAGTGTAATAATAAAAAATCAATTAAATAAATATAAAATAGTTGATCCAACATATCCATTTATCAGGTGTCCAGATACACAGATTTGTACTGTCTGAATGATTTCACAAAACTAAATATGTCGCAAATTGAAGCTCAATTTTTATTATACACGACAGTACACAATTTAAACAGTATTAGGTACGAGTTTTTATTTCAATAACAAATTCTATTGTAAATATAATTTGCATACATCGGTAAATTACCACTTGTCTTTTAAGATTTCTTATAAAATAATATGTAACTCGTAGGAATTGATGCATATAAGATTTTATAATATGTATACCTACTATAAAATTCTAAAATTGATAACTTGTAATATTGAGCGTGTAAGTTAAGATGCCCCACGTCGCGAACGACAATTTTGGATAAAGTAACACATTGACTACTTATAGAAATTATTATTATTTATCATTTCATTGTAACCATAATTTTTCCTATGCCCATTAATTTTACTTTTCTGCTTAATTATATTATTATACCTCAACTTATTTTTATTAAATCCGTTTGTAACGATGATATTGTTGTATGTTAATTATCACATCAACAGTCAATACTCGAAATTAGCTCTCTACATGTATACTCATTTGAAAGTTTCTTGAAATACATAGTTATTTTTTTTGTAAAATGTAAAGGAAATTAAAATTTTTGGGCTAGATTGAAATTTATTACCGTAAGCGGTAGTGACATTCTGCGTAAGTAGATGGCTAACGCTAATTACAGATCACCTGTAACGATTTTGTAAGGTCGTCTAGACGATAATAAATTATGCTACATACAGTGCCGCTACTGCTTTACCGGTATGTAATTATTTATATATCTTATGAGGAATATATCTCACTAGATTATGATGTATAACATCAGTTAGGTACTCTAGAACCCGACAGTTTTGTCTCATTCTTAGATAAAAATTAAGTTCGTCATCTTAGATTAAACTTATCAAAATAGTTCAAAGTGCAACCAAAGTTATTGTAGATACAGATACATTATGACAGCCTACCCTTATCACAATACTCTAGGACTCGTACTTCTTAGCACTCATTTTGTGCAGGAGTGGCCAAATTAAAATAATATGTTTTATTGTACTAAATGCTCGTTTTTATATCGCGTTGGAAATCCTCATGGCCTGCCTTCGTCGTAGGTAGGACAGGGTGTATGGCTCTTACTGGCTAACACCACGGTGTTCTTGCTCTGCCTATGGCCGTGACCCGGATGCCCTTGTGGATTTACCGCACGCGGCAGGCCTCGACCCACCGCTGTATTTCCGCAACAGGTCCGCCACGGTAGGTACTAAACGCGCTGGCTACTGGTACATAATTATAAATCATATAAAACAATGTCCATGGGAGACATAAGGATTTCAATTTTGTTATATCTTCATTCTATTTTTATTAACATCTTTTACATGAAATACTTTTTAAACCTGTTAAGTATCAGGCCACTGCTGCATGGTCATGCTATATTTATTGTATTTATGTATATTAGGTATTAAATTGTTGGTACGATATTAGAAGAAGAATTCATAATAATATGTAGGCCGTATTGCAGATTGGCTCACTTCATGCAATGCTTAAGTACCTACCTACCTATTTCATGAAACGTTTAACTGTCCACATCACGAGATGGTTTGGATCAATAATTAAAACGTTGTTTTTCAATGTGGGTATCTAAATCATGAAGTAGCCTAGACTACATCGATTTAGCCAAAGGTGGATGACAAAATCGTGAATTGTAGACGACTTAATGATCTCGTTAAATTGAGTTGTCCACATCATTATGTGGTTCCCCATATGTGGTTCACCGACGACTCTACATTTTATTAAGTGAGCAAATCTACGTTATGGCTACGATATATGTTGGAGAATAATTTTCAGAAAAATATATTTGTTCTCTTAATTTTTGCAGTTTGTGATATTGACTGCAATTTTTGTGAGTAGACGACATATATATATATATATGTGCAATTGTACATCTATAGATTAAATACTACCTACTGTTATTTTATTTTCATTTTGCATAAAAAATAGTTCAAAATGAGTACAAGTTACCCATCACCCCTCAGTTTGTTAAAGAAAATTAATTAGGTTACATCATTTTCACTTTATTTAAGTCAATGTTATTATTACAATAAATAGTATTATTTTTCTTAAATCGGTTTCAGCCGGAGAAAATGTTAATGAAGTATATGTAAAAAGTAATTAAAAATTATATTTTAATATTTTTTTATCATGTTGCATTGTAACTTTTTGTAAAATATGTCATCAGAGATAAATAATAGCACATAAGTAATAGCATTTGCTTTTGTCATATCACATTGTATGAAGTTTATCCTTCAATTACCTATCTCGTAGGTAAAATGTTTAAAAATTTCGTAAGTATATTATATGGCACTAAAACTATTACCCCATGTAATGGGGATAAGCACAAATTCATAACTCCTATTAGAATTATCAGTCCCGTTATCTCCCGTTCCCGTAGAATTTTCGGGATTTTTTCTGTCGTAAGAACCTTCTCCTGACAATAACAAACACCACGAAAAAAGATCAGCCAAATCGGTCTAGCCGTTCTCAAGTTATGGCGTGACATCGGGAAACGGGTTTCATCTATCTATCTATATAAATAAAAATTAATTTCCGTTCTTTAGTCTCATTAAAACTCGAGAACGGCTGAACCGATCTGACTAATTTTGGTCTTGAAATGTTCAGTAAAGTCCAGGGAAGGTTTAAAAAGTGAAAAAAAATGTATAGGCAGTACGAAGGTTGCCGGGTCAGCTAGTTTATATATACATTTGTAGCTGCATTTATCATAACCAGACCCCATATTGTGGTAAAATCCCATTATTATTGTTTTGTACATTGCTAATTATTAAAATTGGAATTTTCAGTGATGCTTGTATTAACAAGAAATGACTTTTTTTAAATTGATTAAATAAACACAAGATTTCTATATAGATCTTTTATTTACACACTAATGTTTACATAATTATACTTTAACAAAGCACGTTAAATTTATACCTAACTAATAGTTACAATCACAACAAGTCAATAATTTAAAACAAAGTACATTATCACATCTGGCTGCACTTAGAAATATGTAATAACATTTTATCCATTATTATTTGTCAAAAAGGGTTGTATAATATAACTATTATACTGATTTGATCTTATTTACACACACTAGTGCAGACACCTTTGTATTCATATCACTAAAGGAAACTTCGTCAGAAGTAACTGGGTCCCATACTTTTGCTTATATATTCCCCATTAAGACCATTGCACTTCAGATACGTTAGTACTAATACAAAATAAACAAATATAGAATAAAACAACAATAATACTATACCTTTAAACATGATTTAGTAGTTTTTATCATAGCTATTTATACTGCTATCCCACTGCGATCATTTTAGTGCCTGATATCTATAGATAATTAAGAAACTTAGTGCAAAAAATACCGCTTGTATTTGGAATTAATGTAGCTGTAGTGTTTATTAGTAGAAAATTGATTTATGGAAGCATTGTTGTGCTTTAGGAAACTATGATACATCAGATCATCAGATTTAATACTTATATTGGCTTGTAAAGCAGTGTTGTGACATACTTCTTTCTGTATCGGTGGGTGGCTGACAACACCATGACACCGTCTTTGATGGACAATGCATACAGGTGATTCAACATAACATGATTAGGCTCAGGTAACAATGTTGGCTCACACTGGAAAATAATTCACAAGTAACATATTAAATTAATAATTAGGTACACATAAAAGTTAACTACATAACAATAAACAAATGGGGGGTACTTACAGATAATGGTGTATCTTTGTTCAGAATGACTTGTAATAGATGAGGGGGCAAAATAGGTGGCCCTGAAACTTTCTCCCATGGCTTGGATTGAGGTATTTCCTATAAAATTTATAATAATAAACTCTTAAAATCAGTGTGGTGGTACATTTAATTTTTTCATGGACCTAATATTTGCCAACAAACCTGTGAATACTCTGTTTGAGCACTGCTATGTATACCTTCACTGTCCTTTGCAAGAGCTTGGAAAACTTCAAAGTCAGACATTTTAACTGTTACCAAATTATTCTTACTTCCCATACCATTATCTACTACCTTCTGTAACAAAGTAAATAAAAGCCTGAAATTATGAATGCAGAGACTGTATAACTTATTAAGTAATAAAATTCTATAATTTGGTTTGAAGCACAAAAGCAAATGTATGCTGATACAAACTTATTAATGCAATTATTTACATTTGAATGCACTAACAAGAGTAAGACAACATTGTAGTGAATAGAAATAAAACATACCACAGTGGGGTCATGTCGCCATTCTCCATCAACAAAGTACTTGTACTGATGTTCACCTTCGGGTAAATCTATTATTGTTACAAAATCTCCATGGGACTTGACCATAGGAATTGTTTTCCAGTCAGTAAATGTTCCACTTATATATACCTAAAATAAACAAACATATACTTATTAGAAATTGCATTTGACTAACTTATACTATTATTGACTATAACTTACCTGTTTACCCCCTCCTTCCCATTTAAAAACAGTTGGCAAAACTTTTACATCGTCAATAATCTTGCTACTGTCAGTCAACGTATTTGATCTCTCACGTGGTCCACTATATTCTACATCACTTTCAGGAACAGCCTTGGTATAATATGGTGCACCATCTTCAATGTTATTTTCTTCGTCTCTGGCAATGCGATCATCGTCAACCTTCTTGTCAAATGTGAACGCTTCGCCTTCTTTGACTGGCGACGACGGTCCAACGTCAGGAGCTTTCGTCACAGCGTCTCGGTGCCATTCTTTGGGTTGATTACTCCCTGCGTTTCCCATTCTTTCGCCACACAAAATAATTCACCAAAACCTTTTTGTCGCATAGATCTACTACGACTTGATTGGACTTGATGATGATGACATTGACAGAATAAAGTGATTTGACGTTGATAACACATAACGTTGACGTTTCAAGTGGGTGACGAAAATAGGTAGGAGACCACTTCAACATTTAGTTTGATTATCTCAGATTTCGATTCAGTCAATCCAGTAATAAAAAATTAGCTCCAGTTCTCTCCAGCTGTTCATCATATAATATGCACCATCATATTCAGACACACATAGTCTGCATGTGATGGTGCACTGCATGTCATTATATTACTGAAGGATATTCAGTTACTATGACTATTACTAAATTATAATTTAGTAATAGTCATATTCATAAAGCCCCATCTCTTATTAATCTATGTGACGAGTGACGACATCTCGCTCGTTTCAAATTTTGATCACTTGAATACAGTTCAATCCATTTTGATAAGGTGATTGTGAGGCTGAGGCGTATGGCTCTGCGTAATATTTATTAAAGTACATATAAGCATAAAAGTATAGAATAAAATAATGAACGATGAAAAGCAACCACTGCTCACTGGACCTAACAATTCAATTGAAAGTGTTGAACAAACAGTAGAATTAGTGACAGATCCAGTATCGCCTTTGAGTAATAGTGAAAAACCCAAAGGAGACTATCACCCGGCATCAGAAAGATGTTTGGAGCACCCAACTTCCAACTTCGATACTTTAATCCACCTTTTAAAAGGAAATATAGGAACTGGAATTTTAGCAATGCCAGATGCTTTTAAAAATGCAGGCTTAGTGCTTGGTGAGTATTGATAATTTTTAGTTTGTTTATAAATATTAACTGTTGATAACAATTGATGGAAATTGATAAATACTTAGACGATTTTATTTTGTAGAATCAGAAAATATTCATAAACATCACAAGCTCAACAGTTTAAAGAAAATATATTCATGATGTGACAAATATGCTACCTACCCTAAATAAATTTTGTAAATTAATTGTGGTGGTTAGTTACTTGATTGAAATCAGCAATCTTTTGACTATTTCATAACAATAACTACTACTACTATTTTGTATTTTTTATTAAGTTTTGTCATTTATTTTAGTTTTTTTAATAAACCTGAAATCAGTTAAAACAGCTTTTTTCACCTGACAGAAGGAAGGGTATTGTGTTAAAAAAAAAAATTATACAACAAATAAGTAACTTAAACTGTCAAACACCAAGCGGTCACCGGTGACCGCGACCTATTGTTCTTTAATTGTGTCTATAAAACCGGTACTCGACGAGTTAATCTTCCAAATATTCAATGAGTCTTGTGTAATAAAGGTTAAAGTGTGATTGAACGATAAATAAACTCTATAAAATACAGGCATAAGAAAATTTTATAAAAATCTCTATAATACTTTGGACTAACTCAGGAATCCAATAAGTGAACATAGCTCAGATATTGTAATTGTTGCAATCTACATTTATCAATCTTCATTTACCTATAGGTGATACAAATATCACAATAACCAAAATGTTTTTCTTGCTAGGTGTGTTTGGAACACTAATCATGGGCGCAATATGCACACATTGTATGCATATGCTAGTGAAATGTTCACATGAGCTCTGCATCCGCAGTCAAAAACCAGCATTAAGCTTCTCTGAAGTTATAGAAGATTCCTTCGCATCAGGACCTGTTTCTTTAAGGCCGTATGCTAAAACTATGAAGTAAGTGGCATCATTTATAATATTCTGGTTTAAGCTAAATAAAATGATTTACTTTTACAATCTGTATAACAAACTGTTTTCTTTATAAATGATATAAAATTAACATGGAAGAATTGTGTTATTTGGTTATTTTACATTTTTAATTATCAAGGTTTGTCCGAGTACTAGTTTGAGTGGGATAAAAGCTGAATAGTAGGATAAATATATTTTATACATAATTGCTGCTTAAAATAATTTGCAACATCTAAAATAATACTTTATAATAACATGATGTTGTTAGGTAAATCATTACTTTTTATTATGTAAACTGACATAGGGTAATCTAATCAGCTCACCACTTGCTTTGCTTATTACACTAATTACTGAATATATATTTATATCTATTCCACAAGCAACTGAATTATCATGTTCCATCTCAATACATACAACAATGTAGTTGAATAATCAGAGTATTAGCAGATAAATTAACTGTTGTTTGTAGGAAAATCCATACTTCTAAGTAAGTGTGGAACAGTTTAGTTTAATTAAATAATTTTGTAGTTAAGTATATACAGTGAAAATTTCCTATTCTATTAATTAGGTCTATTGGTTATCATGTAGGAATATCACTCACAAACAATTAATATATTTGTCTTATTTATACAATTAAGATTTGAACAGACTTAGTATCAAACTATGTGTGTTGATAAGTAGGCATGTTTTGAGAAATTTCCTTATCTTTTCACCTCAATTATTTAAACAATTTAAATTATTTCCACTAAGCTTATATAATATTTACTTGACAGTATTTAAGGAGTTATTGAACCTTTCAGAGATAATGTTTTTCAGTGGGACTTATTGTAGATAATATAATCAGGGTGCATGCCTGGCTTGAGTATACTTTTATAATTTAATGCAATTCTGTATAACTACACTTATGGCAATATGTATTGTTTCAGGAAAATTGTCAGTGTATTTTTGGTAATAACACAAATGGGATTTTGCTGTGTTTACTTTTTGTTTGTAGCCACTAACCTTCAAGATACAATGCGTTTTTTTAATGTTAACTTAAATGTACATGTGTACTTGGCTTTATTATATTTACCAATATTTGCACTGGCTATGGTGAAGAACTTAAAGTATCTGTCACCAGTCTCCCTGGTTGCCTCCATAATGACTGCTTGGGGCCTTGTGATAACATTTTACTATATACTTCAAGATTTGCCTCCTACACATACTGTGAAAGCATTCTCTAGCTGGCATCAGATACCTTTATATTTTGGTACAGCTATATATGCATTTGAAGGAATAGGAGTGGTGAGTTTACTTAAATTGTTTTATCTTTTGATTAATTTGCACATTCTAAAATGTTACTTCATGACTGCACTGGTTATGTCTGTTTACTAGGAACACCAGTCATTGAACTGCATGCTTACAGTAGTGGTGATATATTATAAGTATTATGTAAGCAATTTACAATCATTTAAATAAATATAATGCACACAAGGACGCGCTAGTTTTATAAAAATTGTCATTTGATAGCATGTATTAATACACCGCATAATATATACCCACAACATTAATAGTAGGTTGGTATTTTACCTACATAACTAATAGCAATAGCAGCCATGAACTAGTTCTGATCGTGTGTGAAATATATTAATCTCAGGAGCTGCATGCATAAAAATTGTAGTCGATCTTGAAAAATAATACTATTGTGGAAATCTACAATTCATTCGTATTATCTAAGTCTGAGTGGATTACGTAGATGAGTTGCTTCTACGGTTCTACCGTATATTTTAAAACAATGGTGTTTATGCTTTTTAAATTTATCTCAGTAGAGAACCACGACAAATGCAACCAACCGCAAAAACGTAGTCGGTCATTGAGACGTAAATAGGCGAACGTAACGGTGATACGAAGTACCTACACAGCTAGATCTATCCAGATCTTGTAAAAGTAGGTCCGTGTTGTTACTAGATACTGTTCAACGCTTATATGATTGATCTCACTAGCTGTTTGCGTGGCAGATCTAAGCTTCGTGACGAATGAGCCGTTTTGACCCGAGTTCACATTTGCGATTACCTCCGCTGTGTGGGTCACTTTAACCCGTCATCATCATTAACCCGTCGTGTGTCTAAACGTGGATCCACGGGAGACACATGAATTTTCTATTGTGTCGCATATCGGTGCATTCAAACGGTTAAATAGATTTTTATACTGCATGGTTGGCGTAGTGATCGCACAACCATCTGCCGCGTAACGTGTAGCGGTTTCGGTTCCCGCACGGAACAAATTTTTGTGTAGTTAATACACAAATTGTTGTTTCGGATCTGGATGTCATGTGTATGTGAAATTGTGAACTAGTATGTTTGTAAACGAACAGACAACACAGGAGAAAAACCCAGTGTGGTGCAACGGTTGTTGTTCTCATAGGTACCTTACTGTGGTATTTAAAGTGGGTATATTACTGTCAAAACTTTTGTTTCAGAAATGTTTTATTTAGGTTATTTCAGCCTTTAATCGGTCACAAGTAATAAATAAATTATCTATAGCATAATAATAGACATTGAATTCTAACATAAGTACCTAGGTACAACTACCCACTAACGTAAAAATAGGTAGTTTCCTACTTTATATAAATTGTAAAGTGAACTACCTACCTACATACACTAAATGCTTCTGTTCTGTAGTGACTCCATAGCAGTTAATCTTGTATGAATTGGTTAAGATTTCAAATGGTCCTAAAAATGAACGGATGTGTTCAATAAATCGGTAGATTTGAAACGGAATTATATCAATTTATGTATTAGGTACACTGGACCACTGGTACACAAACCTAAGTGGATAGTTGTTGAGTGGATCATTTGGTAAAATACCAATAATAGGGTACTGGTTATTCTAGCAATCTGAATTCTAAGTATATATATGTAGGTAGTCTATAAAAATGAAGTTAAGGTATTAAATGAACGGCAGTAAATTGTTTATGTTCTGAACCGTGAATGCGAATATAAATCCATAGCACATGATGAGTTGGGAGCACTATGGTCCGCCCACATTTTTATCATGAAATCGTAGAATGTAATTGATACAGCTTTAATAACGACCGCATGACGTCACTCCCATGACATACTTCGGTAGCGATGCAGCAATATGACGCCATAAGTTCGCATTGAGTGACGTAATAGAAAGACCTTGATATCAATTGGTACCAATTTAACTGAAATGCTCTCACTCATGCACCCTACAAATGTAGTTATAGTACCTACTTACCTATCTGAAGAAGGCCAGATAGGTGCCTATAAAACCTGACTGTTCTCGTTTGCTATACAGGCACCTCCAACACTAAGAAGGCGTCGATAAATTACGTGAGATATTTAAGGGGGAGAGCGGATAGACTGAAATCTCATCTAATCTTACGTTGGATAGAGGGGGGGTCTCGACAAATATCACGTTTTTTTTTTTGATAGAAACAAAAAAACTATGGTTACCGACTTCATAGTTCATTTTATTCCAGATTGTACATGCTTAAGATTTAATTGTACATCCACATGGATTTTTTTCTTTTTATTTCACGTGAGTATTTTGTGTTGAATAAAATATCACGAAATGTCACCAAGGGGAAGGGAGGGACAGACAATTAAATAAAACACCTCACGTAATTTATGGACGCCCCCTAAGCCCATGGATGTAAAACTGAGTTGCTTACACAATACACGTATTATATCATAAGTGTCACCACTACTGATGACGGTAAACCACACAAAATTTGTTCCAGTAGTAGTAGTAGTAGTAGTAGTAGAGCAACGAATCTTAATAGATTTTCAGTAATAGGATTATTGCAAAGTTTTATAACTTCTTATGCATCTTAAAATCCTAAAATTCAATAGAAGATACTTATTCTTATTTATAACACAGGCACAAAGAAACGACTGATACAAATATTTATAATTACATTTATCTCACGATAACCTGCAATAATGAACTGCAATTACTAATAAGCTTTTATTTATTTTTTCCTTATCTGTCTAGGAACGATTTATACAACACAATAATTCCGTATATTATTGCAGATCTTACCTTTAGAAAACAATATGAAAACTCCAGAGGCCTTTGGTGGCTGGAATGGTGTGCTTAACACTGGCATGGTGATAGTCGCCGCATTGTATACTGGTATTGGATTTTTCGGGTACCTTAAGTATGGCGAACGAGTCCAAGGCAGCATAACGCTTAATTTGCCAAACTCATTGTAAGTGGTCATTTTCTCTGGATTATATTTTAATTTGTACAACAATAATTATACTTTATAAAAAATCTTTTTACTCCCAGATTAGCTCAAAGTGTCCGGGCAGTTATGGCAGCGTCAATCTTCTTATCATATGGATTACAGTTCTATGTACCCATGAACATAGTTTGGCCTTATATAAAGTCAAAACTTACTTCAGAACAAAGTCTTAAATACGGTGAAGCAGTTACGCGATTTGTGCTAATTTCTATAACATGTAAGTTGGTTTTGATCATCTAAATCTTCTACCTAACTAACAGCATCCTTATCTTGGCACGCATAGATTAATTGTTGTCATGTCTGCCTGGTTCAAAGTTTATCGCGTTTGGACTAAAACAATTGGATATGTTATAAAACGAATGTAAATATAATACTTATATACCTTATTCATATATTTGCCACATGGCTGTCACTCTTATCAAAGAAATATTGGTTTTCACCATGCATATTCATAATATAAATAATATGCTGTGGGAAATACACTTATTGATTGACATATGATATGCAATATGCTATCATTACGGATGTACTTAATTATAATTATCATCTATTGCAGTTTTGGCAGCAGCACTGATTCCAAACTTGAGTGGTATAATATCGTTGGTGGGAGCGTTCAGCAGCTCAGCACTTGCACTAATCTTTCCACCACTTATAGAAATAATGACGTTCTGGCCTGACCAACTTGGACAAAGCAATTGGAAGTTATGGAAAGATATATTAATCATGATTTTCGGATTCACAGGATTTGTGTTTGGTACATTTATAAACGTAAGGAATATATTTTTTGCTTACTGAACAAACCAAATCAATATACGAACAGAATATAAATGTTAACCAAAGAGTTTTATAATATTTTATGTGGTTTTATATGATAATCATGACAATAATTGTGTGTAGTAAATGTTCCACAATATTTTGCTTTATAAAAATATTTAATTAGCTTATAGGTGTTGATTAATTGACAAGCTCAGCTTATTTTTAAATGTTTATTTTATATTGGACCTTTTAAGTATTGATGTGTTTTGATAAATATTGAGAGATGGGTATTACTTTAAACTTTTTAGATAAACACTTGCATGAGCTGTAGCTAACTAGCCATGTGGTGACGCTATTATGTGTGTGTATGTGGATTAGCTCTAATTTTAAATTTTTTCATACGTATTGTACGTAAATTGGAATCAGCTTATTGAACAGTATATAATATTAATTTATTTACATTCCACTGTTACCTTGGAGATAGCCTAAATCAAAGGCCTATTTATAATGTAAGATACCTTTGGGTATTTTTATTTTGTGATTATAGTTCCTTCCTATTTTTATATGTGATTATTAAATTATTTTTGTTATATAACTTTAAAATCCTTGTTTAGTTATTTTAGATCTGAAATCTATTTACAGCACATTAATTAAGAAATAAGATTTTATAAATGAAAAAAATGTACATATTTTGATCTTCACTGTGTTAAAAAATATAATATATGCATTTATAAAGGGTGCTTATGTAGTTCAATGTGTTTGGTGTTGAAGAATTTGTGCTTAATGTTCTTTAGCTTATGTGTACCTATTGAATCTGTTAAATGACTACAAATCAGCATTATGATATCCCAATTAGAAAATATAGTCGAGAATGTTATCTATGTTGTACACGCACGACTTAATGGACAAGTGTTTGTGTTCTTAAAAGAGGTATAAGCTAGATACTGTTCACTTGGTTTCCAGGTGCATGGTGTTATCTGCACGAGTCATAATTATTTATTTATACCAGTTACTGCTAAAAAATTGAATGTATTTGACGAACATCAGAGCATGTTATTAAATAATTTATTTAAACTAAACTAATACCATGTTGTATGTTAGAAATTAATTAGTGGTAGCTATTTAAAATATTTTACTGTTTTGTTGTGCTACTATAGATCTGTGTACAATCTGTTCAATATAATAATCTTGAATGTGACAACATTATAGTTTGCGTATTTAGTGGTGATGTACTTATATGCAAGAAAATATAGCTATTGGTGCAAATGATTCCTATTGTTTTCTTTTTTATCGTATAAAACTGTTTCAAAATCGTTTTTTAAAAAATCAAGGCAATGTTCAATTTTTATCGATTTAAAACACACCGCCATAAATCTTTTTATCAAATGAGAGCTACTGTTTTACTCACCAGATGGCGTTAATCTAGAAAATTTACTAGTCCAATTACTAGGTGTCAAAAATTGTACGTCCAATTGTGTGGCAGTGACAATAGGCTACCTAATTCTTTTGTAATAAAAGACAAATCACACTAGCGCCATCTGTATGTTTAATACTTCTATTAAATCCGTTAGAGGTGGGCAATTTTTCGGATAAATACTCAAAATTGATAAACACAGTAAATATCTATCTATCCCAATAATAGCCTTTTTCTAGATCCCGCAGTTTTTATTTATTGACCCAAGGTATTTACTGAACAGTGTAAACGTTTAAATGTTGTTGGCTTTGGTGTATCAATATTTCGCGTAAATTTTACATCAAAATCTTTCAAGTATCTATTCTAATCTTCTAAACTAATAAAATTATTATTTCCTACATAAAATAACTAAGTTTATTTAATTTTTAGTAATTCAAGAAGTAAATAGTTTACTTATTAGAAGTTTTCATAGATAAAAGCAACGTCACTATATCAGGCGAATTTCCGAACGTACCTAAGAAAACACGCAACACTACAGTGAAATGTCATTCACCGACAACAATTAAAAAATGTCGGAATCGTGTCAAGACGGTAATTGTCAAGGAAATAATGAATTTGGGCCGGACGAATCACCCACCAAACTTATCGTCAATTACATTCCTGAAGTCATGACCCAGGATATGATGTTCTCACTATTTTCAACAATGGGTAAACTGGAAAGTTGTAAGTTGATAGCGAACCGAGGCTATGGGTTCGTCGAGTACTCTCGTCCCGAGGATGCAGTCAAGGCACGTAAGGCTTTTAACGGACTTCTAATGCAAAATAAGACTCTTAAAGTGTCGCACGCACTTCTCAACCCGGAGTTAAAACCGCCTTCGAAACCTGAAGCTGACTGGAACCTCTACGTATGTAACCTGCCTAATGAACTGACCTTGCAGGATTTACATGGACTATTCGCACAATTTGGTAAAATAGTTAATTCTCGTATAGCTGCAGGTATAGCATTTGTTTTATATGAACACCAATATGAAGCGGAAAGAGCCATTCAAAACATAAATGGCACCACACCGCCTGGCTTTCTACACCCTTTAACTGTTAAGTATGCTAATAAGAGTAACCCTAATAAACATAAAAATAATAATAATAACTTTCCCAAAAATCCTCTTGTGCGACCTTATCATTGGATAAATCATATGAATGCCATTGGAGATCACAATTCTCCGAGTACATGGTCTATATACATTTATAATATTGCTCCGGAGGTGGAAGAATTAACTCTGTGGCAGCTATTTGGTCCATATGGTGCTATTGTATCGGTTAAGATAATCAAGGATCATTCAACTAATAAGAGTAAAGGATTTGGATTTGTAACGATGAGAAATTATGACCAAGCTGCGATGGCAATACAAGCACTGAATGGATATGTTCTTCATGGCCAACCTCTCTCGGTTAGTTTCAAGACCCAGAAGAGATAATGCTTATGTGAAAGACTTAATAAACTTTACAATATCAATACAGTAATAAATAGACAAAAACAATACCTAATTAATTGGCATTATCAAATATTGCATATAAAATAGTCCCGATTTCTGAATTTTGTGTACACCTTAACCATAATATGTGCAGTCAGTTGACTCTTGTTGAAAATATTTTATTATTTTGAGCTATCGACATTGTTAAGTTTGTTTATGAATAATAATTTATTCGGTTTGCTCGTTAAAGTTTCAAGTTTAGTAGAAGTTTAAGATTGTATTGAATATGATTGTTGTTTGGAAGTTCAACATCAGTTTTGAGCTGTAATGCTTTCATTATTTTAATCTTATTATTTAAGTATAATAAAACCATTTTAAAGAAAGTGCTTTTACAAGATCTAACTAATTGATAAGCCACATTGAGATGTTTAATCAGCTACTAGTTTTAGTTGTACACTTTTTATAACATGATGTCTATTTAGGTAGTGAAAACGAAATCTAGATTATATCATATTTATACATTTAGTATAAAATTTGCTGAATTAAAGTTCATTTTCACAATTTTAAAATGTGTTTGATTTTATTTTGTATTCTCCTTGTCCTACTTTTTATAATAATAGTGCCCTACCTTTCTAAATACCTAAATGATGATTTAATACTTCTATAATTAAATTGTTATTAGCTAGTACATATTACTTATGCATGTAATGTGTTCATAAAAGTGAAAATTAACAAGTTTTAAGTAATATAGACAAATTTACGAAACAATAGTTATATCTGTTAAGTGTTTCGTAGAAAAAATACCGATATTACAATTTTCTAACCCAATCAACTTGTCCCACATGTTGGGCGTGAACTATTACAGCTCTTTTACATTTTTCTCAAAAGATGGCGCTAATCTTCAATTATGCATCTCATTATGAGAATAGCAGTTTTAAGTAAATGGATAAATATGAATATTTTAAGGTCTAAAAAACTGTTAAATGTACCTTTTTTCATGTTTCAGTTTTTGCGTGTTGTTTCAATATTTGTGTATTCGGTAGGCACCTAATTACCTACCTACTTTAATTTTATCGTAATTGTGTCTGGGAATAGTCAATAAGTAAGTAATGTAAAATATAGATAAGTTTGAATAATATTTGAACGATAATATCAATAAATTATCGTATATCAATTAAATGCGAAACGTTCACGAAAAAAGATATTGTAGGTAGGTGTAGAATATTTTATGCCAATTTCGCAGGATCGCAACAAATAATCATTACTTTAACTTTTCGACGAAAATATGTTCATATTTAGGCAGCTATCTACTTGGCTACCTGTGGTAGAAAATAATTTTCTGATAAAGATTATTTAGGTAATTACTTCTATTACTTAAAATTTATATAGGCACCTAGGTACTTAGTATTTGCACGAATTATCGTGCTTTTCTAATAAAGTTAGAAATTGAAATCTTGAATGATGATCTTTGTATCTAAAGTCACAGTCAAAATCCGATACCGGTCTGGTTCCCATATTATTGTTTAGCTACACCATAGGTATATCATACTTATGATAATGGAAGATTATACTTAAAATAACAATGCCTTTCTTAAAATGAAATGTAGGTAGATTAAGTGGTTTGCCTAGGTATAATAAATAGGTACCCTTTACCTACTTACCTACCCGTGGTAGCAAACGTCATGTGTATTGCAAAAATAATAATAACAGACAGCACTTTCTTAGTACTTACTGTTATTCTTACCGACTCCAAAAAATAAGTTGTTCAAGATTTATTGCTATTGTTTTGTAGTTCTTTGGAAGAACTTAAAAAAATTGTCTACATAGCGCCATCTGTTTAGAAAAAAAGTAACTTTTAATGAAAGAAATAAATATAACAAATTTAAGTAGGATTATTTCAAAATCTTACACTCATTAAATATGTTGATATGTGGACAAAAGCAGAACATAATTTCTTTGCATTATGTTACTATAACTATGTACCTAGTGTACCTACATGGGCTACACGTTTCAACAACTTGATTGAAGGCGCATGCTCTAGAAATTGAGGATCGATATAGGTACATAAGCAATAACCGTGTTAGGTGCCGTAGGTCACGCAATCTATGAATTGTTTTTACTTTTGTTTGTGAATATATTCCTTATAATTTTTAATAGTTGAAATAGGACGAAGTTTCACAGTGCGTCCGTGTGCCGGCGATACGGCCGTGGCGGACGGAGAGGGTTCTGTGGTGGCGGGGGGCGTCGGCCTCGCCGTGAGTAGTAAGGTAAGGGAAATTGGTCACTCCATGTTTTTTCTCTCAGTCCATGGGATCAATCAGGCACACATTAAAGTCGCGCATGTATAATGCGTGAAAGTGTTACTTGGGAAGTTAACGTTACACTGAACAATGCCTGACATATTAACAATTTCAGGCAGCTCTTGTACCTAATATTCAAATTAAATTAGGTACATAATAATAAATTGGTACCAACTCTAATTGAGCTTAGTTGTAGTACCTACCTAGGAAGAAAATCTTACTTGTTTGTCGCGTGTTAGATATATTATGCGGTATAAATTATAACACATCCTTCCTACCAACTACCAACCTACCAACATCAGCCTACACTGTTTCCTGTCATGTTTAAGGTAACGATTAAATGGTTATTCATAGGACTTAAGTTAGGTTTAGACTACGACACGACACACGGTACACTCTGTATATAATTAAACTATAATTAAGTAAATCTAATATCTCTGTTATATCTGTACGAACACACGATTATTAGGTAGTGTCGCGCATCAGCCGCCGTCTTAGATAAATTAGGTGATAATAATATTTCAAATATTGGAGTCTATAATTAATTAAATTAAAATTCTAATAAACGTGATCATCACGCGTCTCATGCAGGTACATAATCTTGCTATCCTACCTAATTTACCTCTCTGTTTGTTCTTCGCTGATTTACTAGCATTTAGCTAAATCAGTCAACCAGTGGCCACCATAGGCATGCAACGGTTCTAAGAACATGATTTTGAAAAACAAATTTGCCTTTGTTTAGGTGTACCCTAGCCCGGGGGCGGCGCGCGGCGTGTGGGCGCTGCCGCAGCCGCCCCCCTGCACCATGGCAGCAGAGGAAGCTTTGCCGCCTTGCTCTCCCATGTCGCCAGATGCTCCAGCCGCGCCACCTCGAACAATTACTAGCTACAACCAACACTCCGATCTTCATCAACTTATTTTTGAAGCCGTCCGTTCCGGGTTAGAAATTTTATGAAAACTTACCTATGTTTAGTTTAAACTTATGAACTTACTTACTTGTACCTTAATTAACCTATTCTTTTTTAGAGAAGTATCAGAAATTGAACGCCTAGTAGAAAAACTTGGCGTGGAAGTGCTGAGTGCTCGAGATCAGCATGGCTACACTCCTGCACACTGGGCTGCACTAGACGGCAGCGTCGCGGTTATGCGCTATCTCGTCGAACGAGGAGCACCCATCGATCTTTCTTGCTTGGGCACCCAGGTAACATTTATAATAACTAGACCTAGAATGGATACACTACATGAAGTATCTAGATATTTTTTTATACCATACCATATTGACCAATTCGTACCTAATTATTTCTTTTAAGGGTCCTCGTCCTATCCACTGGGCCTGTCGCAAGGGCCACGCGTCGGTAGTACAAGTTTTGTTACAGTCTGGAGTTGCGGTCAACGCTGCTGACTTTAAAGGTAAGTATTCCTATTCCTTTAGCATTGACCATGGGTCTATGTTAGTAGTTACCTAATAAAAAAATACAAGTTTTTTTTCTACAGGTTTGACCCCACTGATGACGGCCTGTATGTACGGCAAGACAGCGACGGCTGCGTATTTACTCGGCATGGGAGCGGCGACCAGGCTGTCTGATATTAACGGCGACACTGCCCTCCACTGGGCTGCATACAAGGGTCATGCTGACTTAGTACGCTTGTTAATTTATTCAGGCGTACCTTTACATTGCACTGATAATTTTGGATCGACACCACTTCATCTGGCGTGTTTGTCGGGCAATTTGACTTGCGTAAGATTATTATGTGAAAAGGTGAGAACACTTTCAATTGGGACAAATAACGACCTTAGAAGTATCTATCCAGTGTCAAAATCTGTCTTTTTGTAGGTCAAAGCAGAACTGGAACCTCGCGACAAAAATGGAAAAACACCATTGATGCTAGCACAGAGCCACCGACACTTAGAAGTTGTAAAACTGTTACAAAAGGAGATGAAACGCAAGTCACACTGGATGCCTCCACTTTCTGAATTGTGGGCGCTGTTATTTGGAGGCGCTGGAGACTCAAAGGGTCCTCTACTGTTCTTTTTGATATCGGTATTACTTTGGGGATATCCTATGTATGTAATAAGATGCATACCATTGACATGGAACACACTACGTCTGTCGCATTACTGTTTCCTTTATTGGAATGCGATTATGTGGCTCAGCTGGGTGATTGCGAACAGAAGGGACCCGGGATACATACCTCAAAACTCTGAGACGTATTATAGAGCCATTCGTCAAATTCCGTATTACGACAAATGGAAAAAAAGAAACGTGATTTTATCACGATTGTGTCATACTTGCCGATGTATGCGTCCTTTGAGGTAATTTTGTTATTTATCCTCATTCAGTCATTTTAGGGAGTTAATTAAACCAAGTGGTTAGGTACAGTTAACCAGGTATGAAATAAACGCATTAGGTACAATCCTTTTACTTCGGAGGACAAAAACGGGTTGGTTTGTCCTAAATGCCCTCTAAAAGAACTTTGTAACTTTCAATAACAAGTACTTACCTATTGCTATTAAAACCACGTTAAAACAATGACATACTGTAAATTCAATAGGAAGATACAACGCCATTTCAACTTACCTGGGTACTTGACTATAAGTATTTAAGACAACACTTTCACCGATTGCAGCGATCTGTCACAGTTTCAGCGACTGCAATTCGTCTCGCCTAAATTTTCAGTGTCAAATACCCAACTATCGGTTTCATACACAGAAATATTTATATCTGTGGTTTCATACCTACCTATACCTAATGACTATAAATAATAATATTATAATACTTACTTTGAACTCAGTAAAACATTTTTGCTAGCTAATTACTTACCTACTTGTGTACCTACAGTTATTTAAATAAAGTTACACATTTATTTGTAATCAGGTAGGTTGTGTAGGTTTCACTTAGGTAATAGACCTTTAACTAACTAGCTTAACAATAATTTACTATAGCGGCTATATCCATTACGAAATTATTCCTCTATAGGTATTTTTAGTCGGTTATCAAATAATCAAGTTCAATTAAAAGCAAATCAATCAAAATATTTAACAAAGCAATCAATTCTTAGTATAAATGTAGATTTATATTAGATAAGATAAGTTAACTGCGTAAGTTTCCGGTTCCAGTCTCATTAGAAAACATTTTCGGGTGCCTATTTCCCCGTTGTTTTTAACAATCAAAATAATACCAGTGCCTTATGTTGGTCTTATAGTGCAGTCGCTCAATGCCATGATTTAAGAAATAAGTTTGTAGGGATGGCCAAAAAATATGTTGTGTAGGTTATCTATTGCAGACTTCAGAGTACCTAATTGAGTTATTCCTATAAAGTGTACCTATGTTCTGTCTGTCTGCAGGGCTAAACACTGTCGCATCTGCAAGCGTTGCGTAGCATATTTTGACCACCACTGCCCATTCATCTACAACTGTGTCGGCGTGCGCAACAGAATGTGGTTCTTCCTATTTGTGATGAGCGTCGCAATCAACTGCACCCTCTCCATATACTTCGCCTGCTACTGCCTGCTGCTCGAAGGCTTCGGCCTGTTATATGTACTGGGACTTTTGGAAGCTATCACTTTTTGCGCTCTTGGTTGGATCCTTACATGCACTTCGGTAAGTCTTCAAACTTAATATGTCTAGTAATACATAACGACTAAATAAAGTACTTGCATACATGCTACATAGGCACCGCCTGGATTAGGTAAGTACTTAGGTGTTTTATAAATGGGTCCATTCCAACTCCTAGCCGAGATCACTCCCACCATGACACTCAATCAGAAAATATGTCTTTGCCGCGGAGAACTTAACGAGTTACCGGGGCTCCGGCTCGAAGTGCAGGAGTAGGAACGGAGTAGTTTTAATCAATAAAAGTCTGGCACTCCCTTCTTCCTCGCCCAGGCGGGAGAAGTCATTCAATGATTTTCCCCCCTTAAAAAAAACAAAAAAAGCGGCGTGTCACACCCTTGTGTTACGATAATTTCGTTTTGGTAAACGTAACATTAGTTTTTTTACTTTTCAGATTTTGCACGCATGCATGAATTTAACTACGAATGAAATGTTCAACTATAAAAGATATCCTTATTTGAGGGATAAACGCGGGCGTTATCAGAATCCATTCTCACGAGGACCTATTATGAACTTAATTGAATTCTTCGTGTGCTTGCCCGACAAATGTGATGAACAAGATATTTTTCACGAAGAGAATATATGATGTGAGGAGCAATGACGCAACGAGTTTTGTAGAACAAGGTCACAAAAGCTTCTACAGAAATAAACTAGCTCAACACCCTATTTTAAACTGTATTTTGCTATGCCACTGGCTAATTCTTTGCCAGATTGAAGGGTGTCTTCAAAGCCCGAGTCAATAGGTTGCTTATGGGTCGACGTGCTCCGTCGTAGACCGCATCATCGCTTACCACCAGGCGAGATAGTGGTCAAATCAAACGTCAGCTCATCAAATATATATACTTACATATTAAAAAAAAATATGGATCAATAATTCTATATGAAAACGTCCACTTTTAAAAACCTTACGATTGTCCATCACGAGGCGAAATGACTTTGATAAATTTAATTTAGCCTCATTCATAACATCAAAGAACCGGCTAACGGCTAAAGAACGGCCCAATTTTGGTATTAGAAAGTGCCTGCACAAGTTTGAATACCACAGCCGCGCTCATTGCGCAAGTCTTCTACTAGCTAGGTATAATTATTTAAACAGTCGGGTAAGTGTTTATGCGACTCGAACACATGTGCCTACACGCCTCAACACATACGTTATACACATATAATAAAGATTTACAAATGTATTTGTTATGCATTTCACGTTTATTAATGTTGTAGGTACCTATATTTATTAAAAATGGCTTATAATATAGGTACTATTTTCCTCAAGACCTGTGTTTTATTTTATTATACATATTTTAGGTTTGACCTGTTTTATTTCATATTTATATTTGGTTATTAAATCAAAAGATTCTTTAGAGAAAATCTTTTGAAAATTATAGATGTAATTTCGGGTTCTATTTTAGTGTAAATAAAAGACATATTTTTGTGCTACGTTAATGTAATTATAATCAAACATTTGTTTAGAACAAAAACAAATTAAGTATTCGAGTAAGCTTCATGTGTGAAAAGTTATGAAATGTAGTCAACATTTAATGTTTGCAAATGAATGAAATAAAATTAATAATAATATAGTTTCAAACACTGCCTCGTTGGCCGAGTGGTCGCAAGTGCGACTGCCGGGCAAGGGGTCTCGGGTTCGATTCCCGGGTCGGGCAAAGTATTACTGGGTTTTAAAAAAAAATCTCAGTAGTAGCACGGAGTCTGGAATTGTGCCCGGTATATGGCAATAGGCTCACCCCCTATTACATGGGACTCATAACATAAATAGTGAAAAGTGGGTGTTACTTTATACAGTGGTATAAAAATGCACCTCTGCCTACCCCTTCGGGGATAAAAGGCGTGATGTTATGTTATGTTATGTAGTTTCAAACACACGTCGCAAATATTACCTACAATTGTTCACTTTCCGCTTACATACAGGATAAAATCTGTTTACCCTTCTAATTATCACAATTCTCTTACACATCAGTCAAATACACGTTGTAACAGCACATACGTATATTACGAGTTAATAAATAACTTTCATCATCACATTAAAATCGCGCACGAGCGACATAGAAGTCAGGCCAGCTGATCCATTCTACAACTTGTTTTATAAAATTTGTTCTACACGAAAAGGTTATTAACAATTTCTAATAATTCGAGTCATTTAAGTTTCGTGCAGTGCTACGCAATTTACAGAACAATGTGTTTAGGTAGGAATCTACCGATTATATTTATTAAGATCAATGAATATTAATCTTCTTCTGTATCTGCTTTTACAACATGAAACAAATATTTTATGATCTTATATACCACATATTTATTTCTTCCATACGTAAAGTTTGTTAGCATCGTCTATTAGTTACATTATTTTACTGGGACTTTCAACTTAATGCTTGTACTTCTTAAAAATGCAAAAGACTAGTTATATAAAAAAATAAATTAACATAATTATGTGGTTTATAATACTGATGTGTTGCCTTTATCAAATTATTTGTATCACATAAAGTAGCTTGCTGACATTTATTCACTTGTAACTAGTACAATGAAATATTTTTAGATAGTTAACATACTATTTGAAAATGAATGTGCTTAAGACTGATAAACATTTAGGTGATCTTCTAATAATGACAGTGAAAAGGAAGATATAGGGGTGTAATTTAAGATGCTGAAATGACGATATTAATTAATTTGCGTGGAACAACAAACAAACGATCCAAACGAGGTCACAACCTCGAATTTTGTTCCTAACATAGAAGCGCCTAAGGAAGACGCCGTAAGGAAGTTAGTAGCTACTTAGTATGCAATGGCAATGTGCTTCATCTATAGTTCGCAGTTTATTTAGGTAATAATGTATGCGTCACAAGTACCTACTACTAATGTGTCTATCTATTTCATAAACAGATTCTAAATCTAGTAATCTAGTAAATATTTCAAATTTTATTGTGGGTTTTCCACATTGAAACTATTCATTTCAATTAATCATCCTTAGGGTTAATCCTAATAGCAGCCTCAATTTCTTCTTTGGGTTGGTTCTCGTCACCCCAGCCCCACAGATGATGTGAGCCATCTCCAGTGCGCTTTACCCTGTTCTTGACAATGTCCTCAGATACAGTTTTCATGTCGTAGGCCCAGCCGATTTTAGCAAAGAAATTAATAAACGCTGTGGTGAAATTCAGTTTGTTGTTACCGAGTTCAGCAGTTTTGTAGTCCCAGGGGAAGGTGTGGTGGTAGTTGTGGAAACCTTCACCGAGCGCGAACATCGCTACCGACATGTTCTCCGAGGGCTTGATGCTTTTGTCGTAAGGTTTGTCTCCCCACTTATGAGCAGCGGAGTTGACGAGCCAAGTCACGTTGAGGATGAATGCGTAACGGAACATGGCAGCCACGAAGAAGGCGTTGGTCCAGGTTTCACCCCACAGATATACAGGAATCATCGTGGGCATAACGAAGCAAGCTAGGGGCATCAGCAGTAGATAGTACCTACGAAACAAAATTAAGTTTATTATAAATTCTCTCAATTCTCCTTCTTCATTTTTTAAACATTATGTCTGAAAGTCATGATTGTTATGGTTAATTTAGATAAAATATGGTTAATCTCAGTCATATGCATTATTAAACTACTAAAACTCGTGTACTATACCAATAGGTTTAGTAAGTAGTAGTAAGAAAGTTGTCATTTAATAATTTAATAACAATTAAATTATATTTTAAACATTTAAGTGCAAATAAAATCTGTTACTTACTTTTTCTGGAATCTCAGTACAGGATCAGCAAGCAAGTCGCTCATGTCAAGTCCTTTGCCCTTTTCCTTGAGGTCTGGATGCTTCCTGACGAGAAGCCAGCCGATATGGGAGAAGAAGAAGCCACGGGTCGCGTTGTGAGGATCGGCGTCAGTCTCCGAGTACTTGTGATGCATGCGGTGGTCGCGTGCCCAGTCCATAGCAGCATCCTTGAAATCACAAAAAAATATAGGTGTTAGATAATGTTATCTTGAAAAAATTCTATACACTAAGAAACATAGTAAAGTAGTGGGTTATATTGAGAGGAATTTCGTATTGCTTATCTTTAAAATACCCGAGGATTAACACCACAGCAGTATTGTAGTATCATAAAATAATTTCGTAGTTGAAGTTTAATTTCTGTTTATAAATATTTCTAAAATCAAGATTTATTTTGATAATTTTCTTTTGAAAATTTAAGTTGTTTACTCTTTATTGTAATTTCTATGCCTGAGTATAAACTAGTATTTTATATGCAAAATGTACATTGTTTAGTTAGGTTACAAGGAAAACGATCGCGAAAACACGTTGATAATTCGTCAATGCTAAACTAAGCATAGCTAGTCCTACCTACAAGTGTAGTCACCTTCAAAGTCCCATTTCTATAGGCACCCACAGGAAAACATTACAACGGAATTTTGCCAGAGTTAGACATACATTTTATGCCAGTTATGTTAGAAATCCCATTAAGGAGGCAAGCTTATTGTAAAGAGTCTGTATACATTTAAATGTTATTCCACAATTAGCTAGGCGAGGGTGTGACTCACTTATGTATTATTTGTCATTAATGAGGTAAGAGTTAGAAACCTTATGTTTATGTACACTCAAATTTTTTAAATATAAAAGTTACCTACTTTAATATTTAAAAAATTTGAATGTAATCTTATACAGTATACAGATAATGCACTGTTCGAAAGATAATATGTACTACATACTAATTTTTATATTTACTATTTTCTTTACCCAATTATTTAACAAATGATCTTGAAATACTTGGCTGTGACACCAATACACAGACAATATAATAATATTATATCTGTTGTATTCTTTTTATTGATATCATGATACTTATAGTATATTGTATTAATGAGTTTACAACTTTTGTAATTATCATTTTAATAATTTAATAACAATTAAATTGTCTTTTTTTAAACATTTAAAGTGTCAAACACCGCGCGGTCAACGGTGACCGCAACCTATTGTTCTTTAATTGTGTCTATAATGACCGTACTCAAAGAGTTAAGTGCAAGTAAACAATTCTATTGGTCTTTATAAATTTATCATCAGGTCCAGGCCCGCAGACATCCTTTACTGAACAGTAGCCTTCATTAAGATTATATTAAGATACTATTCCTCTTTAAGATATTATTTTTCAAATTCAAATATTCAAATTTAAATTCTTCATCATAAAGGAAGAGATTCCAGAATAAGTTTCTTATATCTTAAAATATTATGGATAAAATCATTGAATAACCGAATTTTATAAATATTGTCATCAATTTAACATAACTACTAGTATAATTATTATTATGATTTATAATCATTTATACGCCATACTAAAGAAATCTGTTAACATAAATAATTCAATATCTCACCTGGAACGCAACCGTGTTGAAAATGATCAGGATAACTTTTAGTGGCCATTTAGCTTTGTAGGATTTGTGGGCCCACAAACGATGTGCTCCAGCTGTGATCCCCAGTCCCGATATCACATACAAGATGTAGGCTGGAAATATACACACAACATTATTATTAGTCACTTGACAGATAAATTTGATCATAATATACGTAGAGGTAAGCTGTATAAAGTGGAATTATTCAATACCTAACTATGTTAGAATAGGTAGGTACATGACACACTGACTAGACTGCAATTATAGGTCACCTTCAGGTCATTTTAATAAAATGAAAGTTTGGTATCACCATCTCATATAATATAGAATTTCTGCATATTAAGAATAACAAAATTAAGGGAATAGGTTTACTAACTTCATCAACTGAATTAAAATCTAATCAACTAGAAATACTCACCAAAAATGTCTGTTTGCCACTTTGCAGAGAAGAGGAACAGGTAACCACCATACAGAGCTGCTAAGTGAAGATAAGCAAACAATATGATATTCCTCCACACCAGTTGCTTGGGTTTGTTGTCAGCTTTTTGGACTGGAGGTCTGGCCAGCGCCAAGTCCGGAGTAGCCGCATCGCTCTCAAAGAGCACTCCATTCACGTCCTCCGATATATTTGGAGCCATCCTTCCAAACTTCTAAGCTGAAGACAAATTAAATAAATAAAATTAGCACCCCACCAAACAAAATAATTTTACGTTAGTACATTTGAGTTCTCGACTTTAACTCGTCGAGTACCGGTTTTATAGACACAATTAAAGAACAATAGGTCGCGGTCACCGGTGACCGCTTGGTGTTTGACAGTTTAAATAACGTGTTCAAAATCACTGTAAATATTATTGAGTTATAAAGATAAAGAACTATTAAATACAATATTTATTACATAAAACAGAAATACGCAAAATTCTCATTCAATTCAATGGTTAGATTCAAGAACAATACAAAATCTACGTTACATACGCAACCACCGGTTAAAGATGTATTGTAACGAGTAACGACTACACTACCTAATTTAACTCTTGAAATCAGATAGGTAGTAAGATTTTGCAGTTTCTTGTTCTATTCACGTAAACGTCAACCTTATAATCTAACTGGAATTTTTCTTGTTTGGTTGTACTTGACGTTTCGTAATTTCGATTGATAAAAGAATAGGGTTGGGATACCTATACCTGTAGGTTAGATATCGATAAAACACATTGTCGATAAAATGATGTGATTGGTATTAATTATTGGATCTATTAGAAAAAATCAGAGTGCATGCTTTAAAATGCACGTAGTATGCATTATTATGTATTGAAGATCCCTTATGCAATGTATATGCATAATGGCTACACAATTAGCTATTTCTCTATTTGGTATCCACGTGGCTTTCTACAGGGATTTAATTGTTTTTTCAAAAAACGAAGATCAAAGTACTAAGAAGTTAGATAGGTAACGGTACGGTACGTTACGTACAGATTAGGGAGGAAGGTTTTACACTCTTTGCCCAATATTTTAATAACATGTGAATGAAATAGTGTTAAAGGCTGGTACCTAATTCAGCTCTGCACCCTAGGTAGATTTAAATTGCTGTGTTTACAGGTTTTATAAAATGTATATACTAGTAGTATTTAAGCGACATAGATTTAAGTATTATTAAGCCAAAATAATAATTCACAGCTTAGGCTATTTCGACAGTCATAAAAAGAAAGTCCTATTTGACCTTCATTACAATGCACAACCGCATCACTATTCACCAACCTACATAAGCTTAATATACATAGGCACAGGTGAGAACACATCAGGTATATACTTACCTATTTATCTAATACATAGTATGTATATTAAATAAAGTACATCACTACTAACTGAACAGATAAGAACACGATAAAATATAAAAAAAAACAAATGAAAGATATAATTATTTTGTTTGTAAACAGTGATAATTTAAATAAATTATAATATCTAATAAGAAAATAGAAATTAATTAGTTACTTACCAATAAATAAATGTAAATAATTTAAAATAATCCAATATAAATGGTAAACCACAATCACACTATTAACCGAGTGTTAACGAAGTATGAATGAGAGTTCTTCTCAGTCCAGAGCGTTATATATGACTGATAATATAACCGGAAAACAATAATATTTGCAACACACAGACCGGCCGGTGCAATCGATAAGTTCACGTGTTGGACTGTGGACTTACTAGCATGGGCACGCTTGTGGAGTTAGTTTCAGACTGACGGAATGGTCTGGTAGGCGAAACGATTGCGCGTGGATTGGGCAGGCGAAGTGGCGCGATGTCGACGACCACGTCACTGGCTCGTCACGAACATGGCACGATGTACAGTTGTGATCAGGCGATATTATGGGTTAACCTCGTCCCGATGGCGGGAGTTCGAACTTTGGTAAGACCATAATTTGAGTGGACACTTCCTTCATTTGGTGCATTTAGGACTTTATTAGGTAAAATGTAGGTACCAATCTGAAAAGTTGGGATGTATATACCTAAGTTGAGCCTACATACTAATATACCTACTTAATTATGCAGTTAAATATATTAAAGTAAGGTTTAAGGTACCTACCTAAATAAGAAAAACCATATCCAAGCTTTTGGTTAGTGTACAGAAAGTGCATTGTGCAGTCTTAGATTCCTAGGTACAATGAACAGTGGTTTATTGGATAGGTTAGTACAGTACCGAGAAATGTTATTTCTCGGTACTGTACTAACCTATCCAAGTTACTGGCAATCGAGTCATGTGTAAACGGTGAAGCGAACTTTTTACTTGCCTGTTTAAGTAGTTAGAAATCATTGCCAATATAGGTCTTTGCAAAAGGATAATCTAATTTCCTACCACAATCGACTTGTAATGTTTTAATTTTTTAAATTCTCGTATCGTCGTAATCATCGTATCCATTATTACTTAAATATGTTAGCCTCAATCTTTCCAAACGGAGGATGTCTGTGATTCTCTCTTCTCTCCATATCTAATTGTTTGTACCGTTACAACTCGTAGTGGAATATTTTTTGTCTTAGATAATGACCTCATCTTTGATTCATGTCGAGTCGACATAAGTATTGAGAGCAAAATAAAATATTGGTTATGTAAGTGTACGTAACCTTTTTTAAAACCCTTCGGAGTGGTAGGTAAGTGAGGAAGGTCGTCAATCGTTGTGAGAACTTAGGCCGATTTTGTCGCACTTTGTCCGATTTTGGTGTCCTACAATATTGTATGTAGAAGTATAATATTATCTACCAAGTACCTATAGGTACGTACACATATTGTATTCTGAAATCTGATCTGCTTGATTCAGGACACGTTAGTACTCGTATCAAAAGGTAGTTTACCCAACCAATTAAAAATGTAATTTGTTGCGTACCTAGATGCCAAAAGGAAGTACAAGATATTATTATAAGTAAATAGATGAAGAGATAAACAGTTATGCAAACATTGCACCAGTTAATCCCTGATGATCGACAGAATCGAAGATACACCTTATCTACACCAACACAAATAAATATTTGTTGATGCCATCGAAACCGTATTCGCTTATGGCTAAAGGTACGAAAGTACCTACACAGTTTCGTTTTCAATGTTTGTATTTTACAGCTAAGCTTATTGAATCAGGTGTATTGATTTTGTCGGTTGACGACTAATTGCTTTTTTCGATCAGCGGCTAAAGCTCCCAAATCAATTAGTCGGCATCGCAATTACCTAGGTACCTACAAGCTTAGTCAATATGCGTAATTGCGTACCTATCTACGTGGCTACGTGGCGTTTTGTAAATGGAAAGCTAGCTACAACAAACCAATTTATGAGTAACTAGTGCACTATAATTAGGTACTTACATAATATTAATACAGCAGTTGTAGTTGTGATACGTCATTCTTCGATAGAAGTGTGGGAGAGCCATGCTTTGGCACGATTGGGCCGGCTCGACCGGAGTGATACCACGGCCTCACAGAAAACCGACGTGAAGCAATGCTTGCGTTGTGTTTCGTCGTGTGAGTGAGGTTACCGGATGCCCAATTACCCTCCCCTTCCCCAATCTCCCCAATCCCTGAATCCCCAGCGATCCTCAAAATCCTAATCCCCAAAAAACCGGTAACGCACTTGTAACGCCTCTGGTGTTACAGGTATCCATGGGCGACGCCGATTGCTTACCATCAGGTGATCCGTCTGCTCGTTTACCGGCTTACGCCATAAAAAAACAATGAGTAGCCTCTGAGAGGAGACCAGATATTGTTTAACCTGACTTGAGTCATTTTTGAATTGACAATAACAAAGCTTTATTATTATTTTGTTGGCAAAGGTGCCGCCTAGATCATTTTCAAAGACGAATCGTCTGTTCCTCCCACTTATCCAATTAGGTGCTGCGAATCCTGTAAGCCGGGCTGGCGGGTCCCAGAGACACAATGAAATAAATTAGAAAATAGGAGTAGACAAAAAATTATTTCCGTTTTTCTTGTTTTACTTGCAGGCTACATAGAGTTTAATGCTGAATAATGTTTTGTACGAACCGACGTAACTGAAGCTTTTAAGTTTGGACTTTTTCGGAGTAGTCAAAGAGGTCATTTTAAGATATTATATTAACATATAGGGCTTTCTTATGAATGTGATTAGGAAAGCTATTTTATAAATTGGAATATTTAGATATTAACATTATTGCAAATCAGTAGTAACTAGTAGTATGTAAGGTACCTCAAAAATTTGAAAATTTATTTTCAACACTCACTGGCATAATTAATACGAGATATACTCAACATCATTGTAAATTATTGATTTAACATGGTTAACCTATCATAAACAATAACAATATCGACCCTTTTTTATAATTATGAAGTATAAATTAATTGAATAATATTTAATGATAATACTATGCGCAACCAATACTAATACATACATATGTATACTTGTCTTTACATAAATTCAAACGACATCAATTAATTTTAATATAAAATATATATTTCATAAGTAAATTTACGTTCAATTGTATTGAATATGTAAAAGTCTGTACCTGACATCACCGTAAATTATGGAACAACACAATATTTAAAGTTATTATCATCCATCATTAAATTAACATAACATAAAACATAATTATATAATAAAAAAAGAAATATTGACATAAACATTTTTAACATAAAAACTTTAAATTAGAAAACTTATTCATATAAAGTTAAAATACACAATTGTGATCAGAATATTATGAGGGAGATGTCTTCATAATTACAATTTAACAACCAAACCATTATACTAATGCTACCATCATAATTAAAGTTTATTTCTAAGTTCTAACTAGTAGTAATTGTACAATATTGCAATAATCGAACTACATTATGATCGATTAAGTTAATCATCTTGAGAGAATAAAACCTCGGGCCACTTAGCGGTGGCGGCCGGTAGAAGTGATGATGGGCACAGAAGATGTTCTTGTACAGAGATCAGAGAGTACCCTCCGAGACAATTCAACACCCACTCGTAGTTTACTGGCACTATACTCTGTTCCATTGCGAGGACTGCAACAAAAATAAACATAACATTTTAGACAAAACTACTGAAAACCTAAGGTTCAATTTCCGCATTGCGTTGGGTAAAAGTAGGTATCAATGTATTGTCTAATAATTTTCTTTTCTATTTTAGAAATTCCGTGGTTTTAAATTGTGGTTAGAAACCTTAATGTGTGCCCTACAGGTGTGTGTGTTTAAAATTGCCATCGGATAACGAGAGAAGGGAACTTACTATAGTATGTACGTAGTAGGGTTTTTTTTAAGGGGGGGATGGGGGAATAATCATCGAATTACTTCTCCTGCCTGGGTGAGGCGGGAGGGAGTGTCAGACTCTTACTAACTAAAAACCACTCCGTTCCTACTCCTGCATTTCGAGCCGAAGCTCCGGTAACCTTTTACGTTCTCCGCATGTGAATACAATTTTAGTAAAAATCTTAGGATATGGAGGTATCTTATTAGCCCAAGCACCAAAATATCAATAAATCGATAGCAATATTTCTAACAGATAACTAACGTGTGGATAAGAAGGTCAAATTGTTATGTTATTGTTTTTAAAACTGTGGTTTGCGTTTGGCAGCTGCGCTCTATTTTTGTTTATCGATACGAACCAACATTTATTTTTAGGTTTAATTAGAAAACATTATATTATTATAGTTTTAGATTTTAGGACGAAATTAACGTAAGAGCTGTTAGCAAAAAAATGGTTTTTGTATGGGTGTATCATCTATGCTAAATAATGATAATTATAAAAAAAAAACTGTTGCGTATCACATCACGATAAAGTTCTAATTAATATTATAATTAATTTAAATTTACATTTATATTATTCAATAGAAGTTTAATTTAAATATAGTGAACATAATATATAAAATTAAGGGAACAATGATAGGTGGATGAAATTAAACTATTGGATTATTAACATGTAATTACGAATAGTTTATTTTAATTTATGATTAGGTTTATACATTATGTCTATAATGTATAAACCTAATCGACTAAATTAAAATAAATTTACTGTCAATTTCAGAAACCGAAAGGTACCGCTTACCGCTTTGTTCGATTGTGATTGCATCCACTGACCACGCTTAGTAGCCATGCTTGCTATCGGTCTAACCAATGAGGCAGTCCAAAAGTCGAAACTAGCGGACCAAATACTGGATTCATTGTGATTCATAAAATCATAACATGTGCGATTACATAAAACCATAAGTTTATCAATCGATTCAGTAATAAATTCTAATCTATAGCTTTTCTTAGAGATTAGAGAAATATTACACAAGGATTAGCTCACATCATATTAATTATACGATGTGTATGGGCCACGTCAGGGAGTCACGTTTATACACTTGACCTAAACTATCTGATTCCTCGGTATCACAAGTGAATCATTAGACAAACAAAATACCGGCCGATCGTATGACCACCGGGCTATTTTTATACTGACATACCTACTTCAGGGGTTTCTTAAGTAAATTAGTACGTACCATTAATTAGTTGGTGTATTGTACACGATTTAATAAAGAAGAATTTAATAATAAAGAATAAGATAATATACTGGATAATAGATGACTATTATCCAGTATCCAGTATATGAGGATAAAGCATAATTTCTGTATAATACCTAATTTTGTAAACTAGCTTCTACCCGCAGCTTCGCCCTTCCCGTGGGATAAAAAATAGCCAATGTGTTATTCCAGACCATAATCTATCAGTTCTAAATCTTCAACCGTTTTGACGTGATTAAGTAACAAACATACACACAAACTAACAAACTTTCGCATTGAAAATGGTTAAGATGGAAGAAGATGGTTAGATTAGTAAGATTTGTATCGCATCGTATTTCTGTAGTCATCCTTCGTCAGAGCAAAGATGTTGAGATCACCATTACTTTAGTGATACTATCGTTTTTATTAAACGGTCAATGGCCAAGCCCGTTTAAGATACAAAGGTCGCAAAACAATAATTCCATAACTGGTCAAGGTCAACAACGGTTACTCATTATTTTCTTAACACCAATAGACTAAAGTCCGAAAGACTAGCGCGTTCAAACAAATGTTTCCGTTTGTAAAGATATGGATTTCCAAGATTTGCGTACAAAGAATTATTTATGGTCCTATATATCACTATTGCTAATTGCTAGCGTAAACAAGCATGTATTTCTAAATGGTTATGATGATTAAGAAAGAATTATTATTCTATTAATTTATACTATCATTTGCTGGTTTTCGCAGGTAAGATTTAGCACCTATCACGTCTTAAGGTTGTCTGTTTGTTCAGATTTCATTTTAAGTTTTCATGATACCTAAATAGATTTTCATTGAGATTAGGTATATTGATAAGTTTCACATCAAAATTCTATTCTATCACCATATTTTAACTAGTTGCTTACGCAAGACTACGTCAAATAAATAATATTCACCTACCTGAAGATAAGTTTAACCAGACAACATGAATGTACCTAATTGTGCGGAAAAAAACAATTTCGTACAACATGTATTTATAATAGAATGCATGTCAGTTATGCACACTTGCATTACATAATTGAATCTTATGTCATGAAAAACAAAAGTGTTATTCTAATGGCGTGTATGGTTCATTGTAAACAATCATTCGTGAAAAATTGTCAAATAAATCTTACATATGAAACGATCCTCCTGCGTGGACTCTGGTTCAGCTAATAACAGCGCTGGTTGGAGACTGCCTTCGGATATTCGTACGTGTTTCATATCTGCAACTACGCGGCCACCAGAAGCCATCAGCATATTCTAAGACAAAAGGAGATGCTATATTATTAGGAAAACAATAGATGGCAGTAACAATAGCTATTAAAATATTATTGGCGAGCATTACCTGTAGTTTATAACGTTATAACAACGTACTAGTTAATTTTATGATGACAATATAATGCTTTTATAACACAAAGTTCTATACTTTTGATCTCGTGCGAAGTCACGTTTCTATATCATACATTAGGTATGTAACGAAGCAACGCACTTCTTTTTTTTTTAATCTAAAGGAACAAGTAGCGGTGCTGATATTAAACGTTAAATTGCTTTTTGCCAGTTATAATCGAGCTTGTAATAGATAACTAATAAATGGGGGACTCCGTGCATCTCAAAGAGCCATCAGACCACCAGATAGGGCCCAGTAGGACTGATGCCCGATACGGAGTCACGGAAGAGTTAACGGGTTGCCGGGGCTCTGGCTCGAGAGCAGGCGTGGGGACGGGGTAGTTTCTCTTGTCTTGACACTCCCTCTCGCATTACCCAAGGCGTGATACGTGATTGGATAATGTCCCCCTTCAAAAAAAAGACAATTGGAAAATCCAGAACTTTGATCCAACCTGGAATAATACTCGAGACCTCTGGTTGGGCAGTGACATTTGTAACCAGTCGACTATAATTGACTATTTGTAGATGTTTATGACCAGAGTTTGTTTATTACAATTTTGTTATTAATAAGTCTACTATTAAGATATCTCACCTATACCGATGTCAGGTTAAAGATCACAGCTAATGTTAGCGTGCAATATGCGTGATCACAATCACGTGAGGGAAACAGCCGATATATAAAATACAATTTACTTTCATTTTCGTATTTGTCTGTTGCCATCATCAGAATACGCCAAAGCGGAAGAAAGACCTTCCTTTTTAGGGGACTTATCGCTAGCCCCATTTTTGCAGGTTACTTGGATTGGTGATCACAGTTAGGTTAGTCCTGACCACTGAAACTATACATCATGCAAAAAGACACGTGATGTAGGTAGGTACTTATTCAGTAACGATTCTTATATTTCAATTGAGCTTGGTGCATGTAAGCACTGTCATATAAGATTACAGGATGTACACAATAGGGTATCATTGATGAAACTAAACTCTATTGATCCATATTGATGTATCGACCATTAGCCATTCGTCTCGCCTGTCGTAATATACCTGTACTTAGTGCTACAGATGTTCAAGTATTAGTTCCAAAAAATGCATTTTAGTACTCTACGGGATGTCTACGCTACAGTGAATTAACTGTGAACTCGTGAAATGAACGAACATACAACTTCGTTAAAGTTTGAATAAACGTAAGACTTCTGCTTGCTTAATTAATAAATAAGTCGTAATTAATAAAGACATATAAGTAAAAAAAAGCGCTTGAAAATTCATGACACATTGTCAAACCGTTAATTAAAGATGGATTTACATTTCTGTGTTACTGTGTCGTCGACTGTATTATCTTAGTAAGTTGTCATCAAGTGTAACCCGTTATGTTGACTGGTAAATTGACAAGACTGCATGTTTTATAATATGCAATTCTGTAATCTGCGTCATAACAGACTTACCTACTGAAATAACCAGTCAGAACAGAACAATAAAATTGCTCACTTAAAAAGAACTTACCTTCAAAGTTTCAACATCGAGCACGCCAAAAGGTGGCATGCAGTAAAATGTGATGCCATCAAACAATTTCTGCTTCGCAATCCTAGAACGCCTCGGTCCCGGCTCGCCAGTACTGTCTAGCGCCTCGTAATATTCCTGTACGAATAAAATAATTTTAATGGGGATGATGACGACTGGTATCTTTATTTTTCGAAATGTCAATAACAAAACTCATCTTGTATAAATTTTTTGTCATTGATTCAATCAAAAGTAATGAATCAATGGGAGTATAATTATTTATTTTAATAGTTAATTTATAAGCGGAATCTATTTATTTTTTGCTGTGAAATCAACGGCAATTTTTTGGGGGAAAATCATCGACTGACTTCTCCCGCCTGGGTGAGGCGGGAGGGAGTGGCAGACTCTTACTGACTAAAAACCACCCCGTTCCTACTTCTGCACTTCGAGCCGGAGCCTCAGTAACCTATTAAGTTCTCCACGGCTCAATCAACGGCAATAGTAAAATACTTATAGGATGGGTAGAAAATGACTATGGAATATTCAAAAGAGAAGAGATCTTTATTAGATTCATTTGTAAGGCTAAGGTTACCTAGTTATTACAGTGAACATGGCAGTGTAACATTTATCATCCAATAAAATAACGGATATGTTAGCGATCTGTCAACATTTGCTATGCTAGGTAATGTTGTCCAAACACACACATAAAGAGTAGACATACATATTTATATAGTCTAAAATCTACTATTTGCTACATATTGGTATTCATACAGAACTATGCCGAACATTTCACAGGTTTCATCGCAGTACGATGGCTAATTCCACTCACACTATGTGATTTTTAGGGTGTAAAAATAAGTATGCGTGCTTAGAGCTTAGTATGAGTTCGGCTGCTTAAATGAAATACCAACGAGAAGGCTTATTACGAGTTTGTGTTACGTTGAAAGTAATTGAAACGAGTACTCGTTCGGTGGTCTGAGGCCTTAGTACAAGTTTATTTCACGTTTAAAGTAATCGAAAGGAAGGTACGTGTTCGGCGCTCTGATTGGCCGGCTCCAATGAACTTACCAATCGGAGCACCGAAGGCAGTCTCGTTTCGATTACTTTTAACGTAAAACAAACTCGTACTAAGGCCTCTGAGGGCTTAGTACGAGATTCCTGTACGTTGAAAGTAATCGAAACGAGTACGCGTTCGGCGCTGTGATTGGCCGGCTCCAATGAATCAACCAATCAGAAGGCCGGACGCCGTCTCGTTTCGATTACTTTAAACAAAAAAGAAACTCGTACCACCGAGTTTCTTTTTTGTTTAGAGGAAAATAGCCCTCAGACCACCGAACGAGTACTCGTTTAAATTACTTTAGTTCGTTCAGGTCGTTTCAGTTACTTTAATTATACAACCTCATAGGCCTTAGTACGAGTTTGCTTTACGTTAAAAGTAATCGAAACGAGACTGCCTTCGGCGCTCCGATTGGTTAATTCATTGGAGTCGGCCAATCAGAGCGCCGAACACGTACTCGTTTGATTACTTTAAACGTGAAACAAACTTGTACTAAGGTCTCTGATTGGCCGGCTCCCAAGAACCAACCAATCAGAGCGCTGAATACGGTCTCGTTTCAATCTCATTAAACGTAACTAAGCCTCAGCTATGTTTCTCGACTCTACTCGAAGGCGAGTCGACAGTGATTATTATAAATAATATAAAAATTAAAATGCACATAAGTTGCATATTAGCTAAAATGATGTCATACGAAATAAAAAATACTGAAATAATATTTATTTATTTGTAAGTAATTACCTATTTAATGTCAAGTAAATAAATGTGAAAGTTGAATGACACAAATCCTATCTTAGGATTTTTGGTTCTTTTCATGATGCATTTTTATTTTTTACTTAGTTGCATGATTTACGTAGGTATGTATTGTATTACAATATAGTCAACTTTCGCTTAAGCCTCATTTAAGAAAATAAATAGGAATTGTCGTAATAATATTGTGCATAATTTATTGTTTGCATTAATCGGATAATAATTTCAAGAAAAATGTCTAGTCTAAAGTCTCTTAGGTAAGGCTAGTTAGAGTAGCACTAAGTGCAACATTTATAGATGATGAATGTCTTTTTCTATGGGTTGTGATTCAGAGATTATCAGTGATTCGAGTATTTCAAGTTTCGTAGATAAAGCCGTATATTGCTTGTGTTAGCCGAGTTAAAATTAGCTCACGTTTAATAACCCGTCTGGCAAGATATTTGTGGAAAGTGCATATTGAGAGTACTCTGAACTAATTTACGTTTTCCTTTGTTACTAGTACATTATAATTCTTATTACTTAATCATGGCCTCACGGGGTAGGCAGAGGTAGTTTAAACTACGCCTTTGAATCAGGAGGGGGCGATAAGCCTATTTCTACCTGAGAATTTTGTAAATAGAAAATCCTACATTTATTTTGGATGACCTGGGAATTCTTTGATAGCATTTGTAACCTGTTTACCAGCGACAGGTATGACTAACGTGTTAACAAAACGTACTTTGACCATACTAATTAGGTGCCTACTTGATTGTACATTTTTATAGCATTTGTTAAAAATGTTTACTATTACGTCATGGTAAGGTCCAATGTTCTATCACATGTTATTGTACCTAACTACGCAATGAGTTCACCCGTTTTTCTGTGAAATGTTTTAGTACATTCTGCGAGATAAGCTGGTAAAGTGGTAACATGTTTATGCATAATACCTAATATATTAGATTAGATAGTATTGTATTGTACCATAAGAATAGATCCCCGCCAGTAAGTGCGCAGGTCCCAAACAGATTTAAGTTCTCTATGGATAATCAAAATAGAATACCTGCTAGTTGATCCTAAACCTTTAGAGCCATAACAATCAAGTCAAAAGTAGTATGCGATTGAGAGTGGAGCAATTTTAAGTTGGTTTTAAAAATAAATCGTGCCATAAGTTATTGTTCTATGTGGACAAAGCGGAGTAAAAAGCTAGCAGAAAGATAAACAGCAGCTGTAGCCAAATGCCATTTAGCACTTGCAATGTAGAATAGAAAACCAAATTATATGGAATTGACGTAAATTTTGACACTTGTCAGTGTCATCCCCATACATTTAGTTTTCTACTCTCTCTGTAGACAAGCTCTAAAGTGGCTTTTAGTTAAAGGCACTGATGATGTAAAGCTTATTAGGTACATAAATCTCCCGATCGATATCGATCATGGTGGCCAGTCTAACTAGACTAGCCTATTACGCAGGAGATATTATAGTGCACGAGTATGTGCACAAACACTTCACGGTTCACTCTCTGTTCCCTTACTCTCTGAACCCGATGTGAGGGCAGACCGTTACGACTGGAGAGATATCAGGCGCAGGACCAATGGCTTTACGTGGTTTCCGAGGCATAGGAGTGATACATGACCAAACTTAATAATTATTAGATTAATTAGGTACATACTTGTCACCTTAATTCAACATTTACATTAATAACTTTGTAGTGCATCGCGTCAACTGAAGCTCAGTAAAGACGTGGCCTGTATCGTTATCGTATGACGCATGATCATGCGTAAATATCGAATATATATTGCAACTAATTTATCTTATATCACCATCCTTCAGTTGTATTACGCACGTCGGATGTCAGCGCAGGTTTTGTGACCCACTCATCTTTGTCCTTATTAACACGTCGTTAAAACTACGTTTAGCCATAAAACACTGACGTGTTCAATATGTTCAGTAGTATTTATTATTATAAACATAAATTAAGAATAAGTATGCCTTGCCATAAACTGAAGAGTTAAATATTTTATGACTATCTACATAAAAACTTAATGTTAGATTCCGTTTCCTTAGTTAGAATTAACGGTATATTTTACCTCATTGACTATTTCTTTAGTCTGCATAATTTTATTGATCCAGTCAAATGATACGATCCATTTGGATGCCGCCAATGCACACATGTATTTGACAGATCTGAAACATAACATATTTTATATTATCTTAAAAGTGTAGCTGGACTATCTGGGAATCTATTCATATTTGAAAACGTGACATCATAATAGCTTGTACAATGTTATTGTAATGCTATCAACTTCATATCTACGTTGTAAATATATACCACTATGAGGGCTGCGGATTATATTGTTTATGAACAATATAGGTAGTCAGATAACACATTTTGTATATTGAACATTTATGATGAATAAGAAAGTCACCTTTGGGACTTTTTCTCGTCATCGACACCAACTATCAAATGCGTAATATCATTTGTGTACTTGTCAACGTAGCTCCATTTACGTTCATTACAAAGAATTTTGAGTTTCGTAATTTGAGTTGCTGTTAGACAGGAACCAGCCAAACAGTACTTCTTATTTGCGTTCGACGCTAAATTCCTAGCAACCAGCGGTCGCGCCGCGGGCGTAGTAGGCGTGCTCTCAAACGCTTTACTCATAAACTCCCTTTCCTGCGTTGTTTTAGCAATTATTTCAGAAGTCTGACACAGAGTCTGTTCAGGATCATTGTCATCATTTTCATGATCAAAATTCAGCGATTTCCTGGCCATTGGCGTTGACTTATGTTTAATTTGATCAGCAAACTTTGTTATAGTCAGTGGCGTTTCTAGTGCTTGCTTTGGAGCAGCAACTTCTATGACTGTCAAGTCTCTGCTACTCCTGTTAGATTCAGTCACAGTGTCTGTCAAGTTGATTATACTTTTTACACTTGGAGTTGATTTTGTTATAGAAACTTTCTTATTTTCATTTAAAGCTATTTGTGATTGGTTAGATGTGCTGGCCCTCTTGAGTTTCGAGAATGATAAGTTCCTAGAAAAAATAAAAGGTAAATGATTAGTATAATTTTTATTTGTATTGGTATGAGAGTGTTTATTCTTCACATTAAACAACAAGTTGGATACATTATGATACTAGATAAGAGCTCTTACATCTTACTAGCGTCATTGGTAGCAAAAAGTAATTAATTTGAATCTAAAGTACAGATACAGTGCATATGGAACATACATTTTTTATTTATTTAATTAAAATTTGTATTTATACCTCATCATTTCATATTAAATGAACTAAAACATATAAATAATAGATTGAAGCCTGGGTACATATTAATTACACATCGGTAACTGTTTAATACTTACTTTTGTGGTGTCTCCTCAACTACACTCCTATCAGAGTCATCATAATCTTGTGACCTTATGTTGGTTTTATTAGTCTTCATAATACAATCCTGGCTCTCCTGAGTGGAGTTCAAATTCTGACATAGAACTGGTGTGAGTAATTCTTCAACTTGTTGTGGTACCTGGAACATTTTATAGGAACGGTTAGAGTACTTCAAAACATTGAAATTGATGACTGACTGATCAATCTCAAAGACAGTGTATTTTCAAAAATTTTTGATCAAATGACCCACCTTATCTAGTTTAGTTATTTCTTCATAATCCTTTTCTACAATAGAGAATACATTTTCACTGTGCTTTTCATTAAAATATTCTTTTAAATTTGGTGTTATTTCAGCATTTATTTGTGTCAACACTTTTTTGCTTGTCTGTGTATTTTTAATTTGTGTTAAATTCTTTTTGTTCTGTTCAGCCACTATGTTAAGCTGACTGTTTACTTTATCTTTCAGTATTGAACCACTGACAACCTCTTGGCTCTTTCTGATATCTTCCATATCTGCATCAATGCTGGCAAACACTTGTCCCATGATAGCATCATAGTTTATTGGTTCACTGTCAGGTTGTGGTTGGTTCTCAACTTTCTTATTTTTATCCCCTGGAGTTATTTTAATTTTCTTGTTATTAGGTAGCACATCTCCATCATTGATGTCCCTAATACGTTTCTCTGCAAGTTTTTGGGTCCTAAACTTGCTACAGACTGTAGACCCCAATATTTCTGAGGGTGCATGTTCTTTTAATGGTTGAACTTGGGCTTCCTTTACTGAACCACTATGAAATATGTCTAGATCATTGAAATCATCAATGTTTTCTGATGGCTCTATTATTTTATGAGGTTGTTCTGACTGTTGTCTTTTAACACTTTTAATTTCTTCATGATCAGAATCTTCACACTCCATTATCTTGGATAATTCTTTCTCTACACTTTCTGTGATTTCAAATTGTGCAGTTGCTGTGTCAGCAGAAGCTGTATTCTTTTTCAGAGATGTAGTTTTGTCCAAAGTGTTATCAACAACAGGTATCTTGTTAATTTCATTCAAACCTACTGTCTGCTCTTTACCAGAACTTTCTTGTATTTTAATCAAAGGCTTTTGTCCATCAGTATTATTATTTGTAATGCTTATGTCTATATTCTGAGTATTTGTTGATTTTGGAACACTATTAGTAGTTTTAGCTAAATGGTCAGGACCTAGGGATGTTTGTATTTCACGGTCAGTGTTAATTTTTACTTGAACATCCTTTTCTTTCTTTTTGATCACTATGTTTGTAATTGTATTCCCTATTTTAATAGAGATTTCTATGTCATCTGAATTATCAGAAGATATGGGTTGTATAGTATCTTCATTTGTTTTCAGAATAGTTTTTTCAGTTTTCTGTGGATTCAGTGCACCTTTTTTTATAAATGGCATTTTTAATTGAGGAACCGGTATGCGTTTTTGTACTTCAGTTGATTTTTCAATATGTTTAGAGGTACAACTTTCTTTATTTATATAATTACTTGCTTTGTCTTCTTCACTAATGACACTTGGTATATCTTCTGTTTCCTGAACTACAGGTTTTACAGAATCACAATTTTTTCTGTATTCTTTTTCTGTTAAATTTACTTCAGGATCAATCATCTCAGTCACAAGTTCATTTTGGTTGATATTGACATCCTCATTTTCTTTATTATGAAACTCTGGAGTATTATCATCGATGTTGTAAACTTGTTGAGTTGTTATTGGTGTTTTAACAACAGGTTTTGGGTTCTGTGTCTTCTTCACCATTTCAATTGAAACATTCAGTTTATTTCTATTTTTTTTATTCAACTTACTGAACTCCTTCCTCATTCTCTTAACATTATTCCAATTTTGTTTAGATTTTTGTGACTTTTTATCATTATCAGCACTTGAATCTCTAGAACTATGCATGTTAGAAGAAAGGTCCTTGGGTGCTGATTCATCTTTCAAATCTCTTTTTCTTGAGCTCCTTCGCGGATTATCTGTTGTATACTCTGTATCCTCCACAAAAAAGGGTTCTATGTCCATGGGTCCAATTATATTCTCACTTTTTTTAGTATTTGTAGGCTCAGGCATTGGTTCTATTTTATCCCAATCATCTTGAGGTGGTGGCACATGAACTACTTTTGGAGGACTTACAGTTTTCCTAGTATCAGTATGAATTAATATATTGCTTGCTGAAACTTCCAATGGGTTGCTTGGTTGTGGTAGATCTTGAGAAAATACTTCAGAATTTTGAACTGGTGCAGAGAAATGATTTTGTGAACTTGTTAACCAGTCTTTAACATTCTTGTCAGGATCTTTTTCAGAATCAAGTTCACCTGGAGTATCCAGATTAAATTCATCCACTGAAAATAATGTAATAATAATAATTAAAATTAATAAAAAATAATTCACAACAATAGGCAGTACATTTGCCTAGATAATATTTTGAATACACTCTCTTTTAAACTGTCAAACAATGAGCGGTCACCGGTGACCGCAACCTATTGTTCTTTAATTGTGTCTATGATGACAGTACTCAAAGAGTTAATTAGACATTTGATGTAAAAATTGTCATCAGCATGGCAAGAATGTAGCAGTTTACTATAGCAGTATAGCTTATTCTTTTGGAAAATCTCAATAGCAACATATCTGTACCTACAAGCCTTAGAACCAGTAACAAGTCAAGTTTATACCCATTAAAAAAATAATATACGTAGTCAATAGAAATAGAAATTTATCATACGAATCAATTTGATTGAAATGAATGAGGTGTTCCATGCATTTTATAACTTACATTTGACATTAAAAAGTTTTTCAAATGCTTCGCCTAGCATTTGGATATGTTCTGTTAGTTTTTGAAGAGGAATGTTTAGTTTTAGGGCCTTGCGTTCTAATTGCTTAGCACAAGCTGGGCAAGTGCGACGTCCTCGCCAGCAAGTATGACACAACGTGTGGCCGCAAGCTGCCGTTGCAGGTGCTATGTAGTATTTACAACTGGAATGTGTAATATATTAGGTTATTACCTATTAGTATGCGAATTTCATTTCATATAATAAAAATAAATAAATAAATAAATATATATTTACGACAATTAATGTAAAAAGTTCTTACCATTCTAAACAAGTAACATGGTCAATTTGTAAGGATGTTAATTTTGATAATTTTGCCACATCCAAGGCTTTTAAATTCATTTTTTTAAACGTTATTTTTCCGATACATTAATGGTTGTCAGAAGGAATTTAGAAGACCCGTTTCAATGTCATTTACTTACAAAACACGTACTTATCACAACACAGTATATTAAGATTCTTTAAATATCAATTATCAAGCAAACTTATAAATACGCAAGGAAAAACAATGAGAAACAAAACAAATGTTTCATAAAAATTTTCCCGCGTTTGTCAAAGTGACAGTGACGTAATCTAGGTTGTTTCTTGTCAATGTCATACAATTTTTCGTAGAGTAGTTCTTTAATAATACTAATTCAAGACATTGGTAATTTAATAAAGCAAAATAATAATACAAGACCTAACTGGAAATCTTGGAAAAATCGATCAAATCATATAGTGCAATAATTGGAAGAAATCATTTTTCATTATATTATTCATATACGGTCATAATTTTATTTTTATTGGTATGTACTTTCGTGTGCCGTGCTTAGGCTTTTTCGGACATGGCAAATGAATGATAACTAGCAACACTTTAATTTAATCACTATCTGTCAAGTGTAGTCAAGGGGTGCCGTGAAAAAACTGAGTTCACCATAGAAATTCAATAAATTCCGCTACAAAATATCAAAGTAAGATGAAAAACGTTGATATAATTTTTAGTTATTGTGAGCCAACCTGAATAAATTCAATTTTTTGGTTGAATACAGTTTTGTGCTTTACTACAAAATTATTACATAATCCTGGATTGTTTTTGTGATAAAAAAGAGATTTTATCCTTTTTATCCCAAAAATTAAGATGTTTTTCTATTTATACTTTATATTGCTAATTAGTCACGTTTAACAACCAGTATATAGTTATCAGAATATTTTCTTTTTGTAGGTTAGGAATTAAATGTTTAAAATTGTAATTTGTGAACTGAAATCATAAGTTACATTTCTGACCATTTAACCTCAACCTTAGAACAAGAGATCTTATGATCTCTAAGGATTTTTCTTACTGATAGTTTTTATAAACGCAACCTAGAGGCCAGAGTTAATTAACATTATATTAAAATAATTACAGAATGGCTCTGGCATTCCGTGGTGCTTTAAGATCTGTGGCGAGGAGGCTCCAAGTGCGTAGCTATGCAGATGCTCCTAAAGGTGACGAAATGGCACTCACATTTGCTGCTGGCAACAAGGTGTTTATTTATTTTTTTACTTAAATTATATTTGTAAAGTTCAAATTGCATTATTATTACTACTTACTTTATGAATTATAAATTACCACTAAAATAAAGGCAGAAACATGTTGAGAATATCTAAATAAATCAGTTGTTATAATTTAGGAATCTGTTTGATAATGAACATATTCTATTTATAATTTATGTCTTTTACTATGTGTTAAAGCAGTGATCACTCCTAGATTAATAAAGAGTAAAATTGATAATATTTTATCAAAGTCAAAATGGTAGACACACATAAATAAGGCTAAGAGGATTCTGTTTAGTAATAAACTACAACTACTTTTCACCAGTTACATTATAGATAGGTCCTATTGTAATATGGGAAAAGCCTATTTGTAAACTCCAGAAAATCAAAGAATATTGCTTTGAAATGGAACTGTGAACCTGACTGTTGCAGTTTCTCAACAAGTAACACACTTTTAAGATCAATATTTTATTCCTACAGGTATTCTATGACAAAAAAGTTGTCAAGCAAGTTGATGTGCCATCTATGAGCGGAGCATTCGGTATCCTGCCTAAACATGTCCCCACACTCGGTAAGCTAATTGCTTCTTATAAGTGCTATAATATATTACTTTCTGATTAGAATAGAAAAACAATAATATTTACTTACTTTGGTAAACTGGGAATGGTAAATATCTGTGTTCAATAGTAATTGTATTATTTTTTAAATAATAATATGTCATTTAAATCTGCTACATCATAAGGCTGTTCTTTGTCCTTCATTACTAGCTACTCCCGTGCGGTTTCACTCACCCTGCTCGGCTCTTATTGAACTAACCGTAGCATAATGTTTTAATATCAAACTTGCCAGTAACCAGTTCCGGAGATTAATGCCTTCAGACAAGTAGTCTCTTTCGTCATAACATTTATTAGTGATTGAAGTAGTTTCAATATTGATATAATTAATTTCAGCTGTCCTGCGCCCTGGTATTGTTACTGTGACGGAAAATGATGGAAAAGTTAGCAAAATCTTTGTATCTTCTGGCACGGTCACAGTTAACGATGATTCCTCCGTTCAGGTACTATTCTTTATATTATTTCCACTATTTTAAATGTCACCTTTACCAATGTCAGCCCTATAAAATCCTGTACAGTCTATTATAGAACTTATTAACTAGGGAATTAAACTTCGACTTGTCAAGAAAAACTAAATGTAGCATTACATTTAGTTTTTCTTGACAAGTCGAAAATTCTACTTCAAATGTTTATTTAATTCTTATCTATTTAAATCTTTCTTTGAATATAATATCGGTTCTATTCTACCATAGCATAAGCCAAAGTATCTAGTAGAGAATAAGATTTAACTCGTCGAGTACCGGTTTTATAGACACAATTAAAGAACAATAGGTCGCGGTCACCGGTGACCGCTTGGTGTTTGACAGATTAAAAGAAGAGGCAAATTGTACCAGTAAATTAACTCTTTGAGTACCGTCATTATAGACACAATTAAAGAACAATAGGTTGCGGTCACCGGTGTCCTCGCGGTGTTTGACAGTTTAATTGGGTTAATTTGCACAAAATGTAAACCAATGTTGCCAGAAATGTTAACTGTTAACTTATGTATTTTTCATCAATAAAATAGGGCTTTCTATGATTTTATATACTCCTGCTTACAATACTATTCATATTCTAGGTCCTTGCTGAGGAAGCCCATCCTCTGGAAAACCTTGACCGAGGTGCAGCCCAGGAGGCCCTTAGCAAAGCTCAGTCTGAATTAAGTTCCGCTGGTAACGAAAAGGTGAGCTTACATTTACAAATTACTTATGCCTTTGTTCCACAGGGTAAAGCAGAAACATAAGATGCCACCTAGTAATCTGATCATATAAGGGCACTGTTGACTGAGTACCTGGTGCTTATTTAGAATATACTGAGGTCGAGACATGTTCTCTTGCGGTAGTAGTGGGGTTCATTTGTAATACCGCTTTCATTCATCCTCTACAGACCACTATTATATTTGAACCTTTTAGAATATATCTTCAGGTGTTTTGCTGTATGTTGGAATTATTATTAAGGTTTACACATGAAGAGTAAAGAACATAATTTGTATAGACTATCTGTCATACAGGTTTATAGGGTACTTAAAAGAAAGAGGAGGAGGAGGAGGTTGTTAAATAGGTGCTTAATACTAAAACATTGTTCTTTCGCAGGCCAAGGCTCAGGCAGCTATCGCCGTAGAAGTCGCCGAGGAGATTGTCAAGGCTGCGTCTGGTTAATGTGTTCACATGACACTGCCACTGAACAGTTAGTGTTAAAAGAACTATTTAATTTACGTCTCTGTATGAATAAACGCCGTTTCCAGTAGAACATATGTATTTTATTTATATACCATTATAAGTGTAGATTAATATTGTCTGTAGTTAGAATATTTTATGTGTGTAAGGGTGTATGGTGTATGGTGTATGGTGTACGTAAACGATATTTAAATAAAACAACATTGCGTAGTTGACATTTGAGTAGTTTATTTAACACAAATCAAACACTTTGGTACAGTTAGTTAGCTGTGGTTATCGATGTCATACCGCCATAAAAATTACGAAACTTACTTTCAAGTAGCTGCAAACCAAACGCACATCGACAAAAGCGAAAATATATAAACAATTAATTTCTTTCCACTGCCAATACAAATAAGATTATGGTACAAATTTTAATTGAATTATTTACCATAATAATTTTGAATAAATTTTATTTATTTTGTTGACATTTCAATTTTAACTAGATTTTCATTTAATCGAATTCTAATTGGAAGGTTAAGAGAAGATTATGTTGCTAGGAAGTCGCGAAAACCTAACTACAAGCCTACTTTGCGAAGCTTACACCACAATACACAACATATAATGGGAAACACCTAGAAAATGACACTCGAGTGTCTTACACCTATCGTCTGCGTAATATAGAAGGATAAAATTACGATTATGATTATTAAAAATGCACCTTACTGTACTAGATTAATATTTTAAAAGATTATTATAAATTCCATGTCAGCAGTGTTTGCTATGGGTTACAGGTGTCGTAGATTGAGTAATTCCTTGCAGTTCATTTAGATAGGTAACTGTTAATATCATCATTAGTATGATACGCTTCCAGTATTTTATGCGTTTGAAAGAGTAGTACTAAAATTGATTACCATTAATTTTACATAGGTAGTTATAATGCGTAACGTGTGTTACCAACTAGCTACGGATTATATAGTACTTTGTTTAAAAGTTGATTAATTACTAATAAAGAAATTTATATCCTACACTTACCCTAAGTATATGCATAAATGCCAAAATCAAAACCAACATATTTGACACAAATAGGACGTGTGACAACAACGTAAAAGACAAAGAGAATAATTAAAAGCAATAACGTTAAAAGGAAGCATTGTTACACCACTCGGTTGTGGTCACCTAATATTACCATCCTAAGAGTATAAATAAAGTTTACGTCGATTATTATTCCATGTAAAAATTAAAAATGGGATAAAAATACAAAATATCACATACATTATTACATGTTGAGCTTAATTTAAATTTAATCCCAAACACCCCAAAACCAGATACATTTTACTGAAGCTTTCTTTAAATTAAGCTGAACAAATAAGGTAAACTATAATTACAATTAAGGATTCTGGAGTAAACGTGTTGTAGTCGAGTACGTAGGGTGGAGGTATAATATATAATGACTTGGATAGGACACATCGCGTCACCTATCTATTTAAGCAAATATATCAATTTGAGATAACTACCACAACCATAATTTTCTGTTTTTTAATGGTAATTCTACTGTGACGCGTTATAGGTTTCTCTAATTTGGAAAGGTAGACTCTAATTTGTACATTACTCGACTTTTCAAATTTACCACAGATAAAGTATGAACAAAGTAAAAAAGTAACTAAATAAAATAGTAAAATGTCCAGCCAACTTAGTTGGGGTAAATTTAAAATTAAATAGTAATACAAAAATGCGACACACAAATGAAATTGTAAAAAAGAGTAGATTTGGCACGATTATCACCATCTTGCTGAAAGGTAGACCAAATTATAGGGCGAAAGTGCAATTGATTGAATTTATATTTAAAAAAAAAGTTCTGCAAAGCTTGCGAGCGGTATATCAGCAAGATGGTAATGGTCCACTAAATTAACGTATAAAATGTGCGTGTGTCGCCGCGCTGTGACACAGGGCCCAGTTTACAGGTTACACTGCCACAGTATCGTAGGCTGTGAGTCCCCGCCCGTGGACTGCTTGCTGGGGGATTGGGGTGGTTGCTTCTGGTCTGTGAACACGGTACCAAACATTCATGTTATTGCTTGACTGATCTTGTGTGCGCCTAGTTAGGGTATATTTATACATTTTTTTTTGTAAGCATATGGTGCCTTAAGATCAAAGACAGGCATTGATAAACATTTTTAAAGCATTTGGATTACACTGCTAGTATTACTAAAGGGTGGGGTTCTCTATATGAGGAACACCAATATAATGAGGTACAGGGTCCGCGCATTTGGCGACTATTTACAGTGTATTAAATAAATCTAATGTAATGTATAAAATGTAGCTAAGGAAAAACCGACTTGGCGGACCAAGTTTTTCTTATTAAATGATAAGCAACTAAATCCATCACGCATGGACTAAAAAGTAACGAGTGCCAGGGTTCTGTTCTATTTCATATTGGGCTATCATTATACATGGTATGTACATTTCATGCGTTTGTTATGGGCAACGCAATCTTCACAAAATAAAACCAAATTAGCTGAGGTATACATAATAAATTATTCGCCTTACCATTCTGGGAGCAAAACATAATATATTAGTGCACATTGGTTCAAATGTTAGCCACAAAAGGTTAATTACGAAACAAAAATATCAGGCAAAATTAAGGTGGAGTATATTCTTTTAAAAATGTTCATTTTCACATACTTTGACTTACTGTTTCCTGTAGATCATGGATGCAGAACATAACACATGCTTAATAACGAGCATAGACTAGTACACAATGCTTTAAAGGTAAATTCATCTATCACGTCACAATGTACTCGTGCTAGCGCTCACACAGGGATTCGGCTCACGTATTAGTATGTAGTGTTTTCAGTGCGTGTGAGTTTGTCAGTGCTCAATCTTGCATTTAAAGGGACACTTTTACTTATTTAGTTTATTGTCTCAACTAGGTTGAATATAATACATGTTTATTTAAATTTGTCTTTTAAAATATATGCGGTTGTAGGAACTTTAAAATATTTAATACCTATGTATATGTTAGGTTTGTGCCTTAAAAATAATAAATTATTAAATTTACTGTAGCGAGACAGTGTCTGTTGTAGGGTAGTTTGTGCAAGGCCTATTAAACTGACCTGTCAATGAGTTTCCTCATTTCCTCGCTGTGCAAGCCGTCCTTAGCAGTGTGGGCCCTTACTGCAACAACACACAAGTCACGACGCGCTCTATACTAGCCACGACACCTGGAGCTGCCTTCTACTCGACATCGCGAACAATAACCACGTAAATATCCATGCCTCAGTCAACTTTGTGAACTATTTTATATTTAAGTATAGGTATGTATGACTTTTTCATTAGGTAGTTGTTGTTCGCGTATGTCCGTCTCCAAAACACGTACTAAATATCTACAGAATCATTTCAAATATAGTAAATTAGTTAACACAATCACGTCTAAGCACATAAAATAGAAACTTTATATGAACTGATTTTAAAGAAAATTATTTTGAAATTTTCCCAAAGTAAAATTTTGCACTTGCCAAGATTAAAGCCATTAATTTTACTGCATAGAAGTTCAATCTTTAATATTGTAAAGTGCGAAAGTTAAAAAGAAAATATATAAAATGTAGACGTAATTTTGAAAATAAAGATAGGTAAGCCAATTACAAGAACTCTAATCTTGAAGCTTTTCAATTTGTTATTACTTGTACAAATTTTGCATGCTGTCAGTCACAATAATTAGAAACATAAAGGAATCAAATAAATTGATCCAAAACTTTTACCGTCTTCTGTTCAGGTGACACCCAAGTGTGCATAAACCAATTCAACAATCAATTTCAAATTAATTCTAAAGAATTTACTAAAATTAGAGTGTTTTGAAAAAGTGGAATTATAATACTACAGATGTACTTTACTAAACCATACTTTTTTATATTAGTTTTGCTGGGTATTAATTTTATTTATTTAATTTTCTAACAATATGTAAGTAGTAATAGGTAGTATCAGTATGTATGTAGATAATTAGACATCACAGGTAAACACAAAACTAAAAAAATGCTAATAAAATTAGTACCCACAATTTAATATATCTGAATAACCAGCATATAATATTAATAATGACTGCATAAATATGTGATACTGATAATCAAGCAATTTCATAAAAAGTATGGCTTAAGATTTGCAGTTTTAATAACAGTTGATCCAGTTGACATTGTGTCCCTGACAGAAGTTGCAATAAATTAGCTCTTCTGTGTAGACTTCTAGGATATTTTTTTTACTTATTTTGCAATTAGGTAAATGGAAGGAATGTGTGGGTAACTTGTATTTTGTTAGTTTGTTACGTACCGGGATAGTTGCGTGGCTGGTCGCATTCGGCTTCGGAGATTTCGTTCGAGTCCTTGCTTTCATTGAATGAGGAGGAGCAGTTGTTGTCGTTGTTGGCGTTGCGTGGAGGGGGTGGGGGAGGCTCGGGGGATCCGCCGCACTTGCGGGTACCTGACACGTAAGCTGTACAGAGGTTACGTTATACTCAAAACTAATACATTTTATATAGTATTTGTAAAACTAATACATGTTGACTGATTCCAGCAGTAAACTACAATATTATTGATATATAATACGACAAGTTTTTGAGAAGCACTTATTTATAGTTATGTATGTATATCTTGTCAACAGAGAACAATATTTATAAATGTTTAATGTACAATCGAAAAATTTAGAACTTTAATAACATAATATTAAAATTGGTTGTTTATTGGTCAATTTGAACTTACCAATGCTGGGGCGAGATCCATAGTGATCGGAGTAGGGAGTGCCGTAAGCGCCGGTGTATTGTTCATCTTCGGGAGCGCAGCAAGCAGGCTCGTCGTACTCAGGACCACAAGCGTACATCGGGCGAGAGTAACGGGCACGCTGGGGACACAGACAAACGAATTACTTCACATATCAGGTATTATTCATACATGTTATTATTATTACATTTTTCTCTAGCAGACGTTGCCCCACTCTAGGATTTTATCTTTCTTTTTTCGTGGGTGCGTTTATAATTTCATGTAGGTACATACATACACTACGCATAACACCCAGACTCAGAACAATTTGTGGATTATACAAAGAACTAAAAAAGCATATTTTGGGGGTCTGTAGGAACAGTAACTATAGTGCAAAATTATTTCGTCTTACGTATTGATCTTCTTCAGCGCAGGTGGCCGGGTCGTCGTATTCGGGGGCAGTCGAGTAGATGGCGCTCTGTCCACCCTGAGAGTTCTTGCGGGCATAGCGGCTGTTGGCACGAGGCTACAACGACACATACTTATATTTAAACACGATTATTTATTCACTTTACTATCATAGTGAGATTTTTATATCACTTTTATTGAGCAAGGTTTATATTTCGTGACTTTTCTTATAATAATAATAATTTACAGTTTGATCAAAAATGTAGTGTCGCACGTACCATGCTCTGGGATCCGGCGCGGGAGTGAGCTGGGTGGTGTGGGTGGGGGTGGGCGAGTGTGCCGGCGTGGGCGGGGTGATGATGCGGGAAGGCCAGGGCCTTGCTGGGGTCCATTTCCTCGCGGAAGCCTAGCAGGTGGAACGTCGCGTACGGGCAGATTTCGTCTTCCATGCCTGTCCATACAATCAAACACAGGTATATTAGACATTGAATTATTCCTTAGTAGTAAACAATTGGAATATATACTTAATTATTGTTTCTTTAGCGCTCGAATACCCTAAAAGGTTGCTCAATTTTAAGTTGTACTTAAATATCCTGCCATTTTTGTCACTTAAAATTGAGTGGTGTTTGAGTATTTGGGCATTTAGTTCCGTTATATTAAAAGATTCGATTAAAATAATACTCCAATTGCTTACTACTGCTATTAATTTTTAAATTAGATTAGTGATAGTGTCACATCCACTGCAATCTGTGAATTATAGCTGTACAGTTATTGTATTTCCATGCTAGAATGTACAATTAGGTATATAGCTTACATTAATACTGTAGACTATTCTCTCTCTCAATATTTAATTAGTACTTACTTACGGTTTGTTTGTATTTGGTAGACAAAAGTAGTTTTAAAACTAAAGTAAGCAAATAAAAATAACTGAGGTTAGAAAAGTGCAAACAATATGTAGATATCATGCAACTATAAATATAATAATAACCATATAATATACTCACTCACTTGTTGTTAATAGTTGACCATTCCATCATTCAGATAAATAGGTTATAGTTACCATTCTCTGCAAATCTGTCTCTTAAACCAATTCCAAGGCACAATAAAGAAGACATTTTTAAAACTAAAATGTCTTCTACCAACACATGAGCATAAAACTAACTTTAACGAATGAACAATTACTTTTTCTTTTAATTCAGTCAAAATATTTGAAGCGCGGTTATATATATTATAGGTGACGCTGGTATCGTTTAAAACTGTTTTTGACTTTCCATTTAAAGTTTCCAAAGAATACGACCATGATGTAGTTTAAGATAGTTAATTTGAACGTATTTTGTTTAATGTGGGCCTATTATTATGTTGGGTTAGTTGTATGCTCATGTCGTGCATGCAGTTGGTCTGACCTGTGGAGGCGGTATCTCCGGAGCCGGCCCTGCGCAGGCGCGGGCGACGGACGCGCTCGTAGTGGTGGCGGCGCGGGTCCCACGTCGAGTGCGCGCCCACTGAACCACACTAACGTTACGCATGCGCTAACACCCAACATACCACTCAACTACGATCTCACTCACTTTGCCAAATGCCTCTAATATTTATTGAAGTAAAATGTAACTATGGAAGCTAATATTGACTACTTTTATTGCGTTTGTAAGCCCGCCCACTACATGGAAGATGTAATCATCAAAGTATGAGCTAAAACATAAAACGAAAGGTAGCAGTGACTTTGATAAAAAAGTGAGTTTTATTGTACTTGAGTGATATCGTACCATAAATGGGGAATTAACTTTTGGGTCAAATCGTTATATTAAATTTTGGTATGTAAACTGATTCATTTAATGGTATATGTTTAGTAATTTTTACACTCTATTCTGTACTATACAACGAAATGACCCGAACGTGAAGCTGAAATTAGGACAATTCAAGGTAATATAAAATACAAAGCTAAACTAAACATAAAGGATTTGGACATAAACTTGCAAGTAAATTATATAAAACATAGGTAGCCTTTACAGACTTTACGGTAGGTAGGTGGCCTTTACAGAACATATAACATTTCCTTGTACCTAGATAATTTGCAAAACTATTACAACATAGCTTTCACCATACAATCACCACTAAGACAAGAAAGAAGTAAAATGAAGCACAAAGAAGAATCAGAGCGATAGTCGTGCAAAAAGATATATAGATAAGTAGTAAGAAACATGAAGTGTTATACATAAACCATTACCTCAATTAGTAAAGTATTGGTGATCCTTACCGGTGGTCAGCAGCTTAATGTTCCAACTACTTAGGTAATACAGTGACTGTGTGAAACTAATAAGTATTTGGTGGGTGAGCAAGGTGAACAGTTGAGAAGTCGGACTGTCGATTACTTGAGTACCTTTTATTCTATCTTATATACTTTTTGACTCTTGTGTTTTAGTTCTTTTATCTTTTAGCCAATTGATTACAAATTGTTACAATTCGTGAGAGAGGTAAAGTATTAGTTTGATGTGTGAAGCTGTAGATGGTATGGTACTCACTGATGACGGCCTGTCGCTTGACGCGGTCGCACGTGTTGTAGTTGGAGCCGGGCACGGGCGGCAGCTTGCGGTTGGGCGGCGCGATGTACCCGAGCTCGTCCCGCAGTCCGCCGCGCTTGTCCAGCGTGCCGCCGCCGCCGCCCAGCGCGGCCTGCGACGCGTTGTACACTGCGTCGTCTGACACAACACATATACGTAAGCTTCGTTTCCTCTACTACTATCATCATTTTTCACCCTTCTACTCACGTAATCTGCAACGCAAGCTTCAAAAGACCTTTAGTTATGAGCTATTGACGCTGCTATTAATTTCGCGACAAGAGCTCCATGTTATTTATTATTTTGTTACAACATCGATTAAATACTTGTTTATGAAGAGCAAATTATATTAAACTGTGAATTTGGTAAATCAAAACAAAATTAATGATTTAAACTTAGTAGTCCATGCTAAGGATCAGTATGGGTAAAAATATAATTGATGATAGATTAAAATACAAAAGTGATTAATGATTAAGTAAGAACTAACGCTATAAAATCGAATCTGGGTAAAATAAATAGTAATAAAGCGGCGTGCCATGCCACCATACATACAATACATGTCCTTCTGACCTCGCAGGCGGTGCGGGGTGTTCCTGCGAGCTAAGGTCAGACAGATCACCACCACGCCTACGATAAACACCACGATCGTTGCCAAAATTGGTACGAGGACTTCTGGTTCCAGCCAAGCCTTGACCCAGGGAGGCAGTTCCTTGTCGGTGCCGATGTTGCCAGGTAAGGGAGCAATGGTTCCTATAATAGCACAATAAGAGATGATGATTTTACCTTTGTGATGGTCCCGAGCGCCTCGTACCACGCAAACGACTACGATAGCAATGATGATAACAAGGATCGCGGCGACTACGGGCACGATAAGGTTAAGATGCGACAGGATTATCTTGAGAGTCTGTTCGGTGGTAAGAGTGCCGCCGCCGACCTCGCGCGCGGGCGCAATAGTACCTGAAATGCAAGCCCCACGTTACTTTGATCTAAAAACACCGATATAAGGATGAATAAATAAAAATAAAAAGGCGATGCATTTCAGGTACGTTTTCGTATAATTTATGAAACAGCAGTATTGTAATGCCTTTTGGCAATCAAAAGAATGGGAAAGTAATTTCAAAGTACTATAAGTCAGTTACTAACCTCCGGTCATGGTAAGCGTAGCAAATTCGTATTCTGCGACGTTGAATCCAGCGTTGTTGTGGGCTGTAATCCTCAGTACATACCAAGTGGCAGGTTCCAGATCTATCAATAAAGATAAAATATTACTACCAATCTTTATAAATTAATTATTATGTTAATAACTCCATATTTGAAAGGTACAAACCAAGTACGACGAAGTTTCCACCGGGTTTGACAGCGTTGGAGATTTGATTCCATTCAGCAGCACCCCTGATACAAGAATGCGTTGATATTTATTTAAGATCAAGTTGTGTTTATGGATGCAGATGAATCTTTTCAAGTAACTTTTTTATGAAACTGCACTTTTCTATTATAAAAAAATTATTTTATTTTAATTAATAATATTTAATATTTATAATTATTTTTATAATATAATAACACTTTTTAGTTATTTCTAAAAAGCAACGCTAGAATCTTACTTTTTCTTGTTCTCGACGACAAAGTGGCTCATGGGGCATCCGCCATCCAACCATTGTTTGAGGTGCAGAGTGACTGAAGAGCTTCCGACTTCAATGAAATCAGCGGCGCGAGGTACCGGGGGCTTGGAACCGCGAGTACGGGCGATCACCACGTCTGAAGCCTCACCAGTGCCGATACTACGCATACAACACCATTTAAAGATTTGTGCTATACTATTATTAAGGATTAAGTTTAACCTAACTACTTAATTATAACCCACTTCTTGGATGTATTTTATGAATCTCATGTATTCGAGGGTGACTGCATTGCTATAGGTACGCTGTATACTATTCAAGACTCCAGGCAATTAACAATTATCAAAGCCAGAATTCCTTTTCAGAATTTTCAAAACCGAAGCCGAAAACCTTTGGTCGAGTGTTAGTGTTGTGCTTGTCTCAATGACGAATCCTCGAATAAATGAGGACTCCTTTAAAAATTATACAATTTATGAAATACCTAGTGTACTGTATAGGAAATGTGTGTAGTATTGTTATAATACTTACCCGTTGTAAGCCGTAACGTAGAGTTGATATCTTGAACCGCAGAACAGGTTCTCCAGAGTGTAAGTGTCAGTGGTGCTTGGAATCTGAAGAAAAAAAAGAACCGTGTTTATATAGGTACTTTTCAGCGACGACAGAAAAGTAAAGTTAAGTTGGTAAGAAATTGTTTATTTTATTAACCTGTACGGTTTCCCAATCTCCGAATTCTTGTTTGTAGTGGATGGTGTATCCTGCGGCGGGCGACTGGTCTACTTCGACTGAAGGCTTCAGGCGGAGAGTGAGAGACGACACGGACGACGACGCGATGCTGAGTTGAGGCGGGAAGGGAGGAGCTGCGGGGAAATTGTGAGTTACACTTTTCTGATACCTACTTTTTTCAATTATGTATTTTTTTTACAAATAAAATTACTCAAGATTGGGAACTTGATATCACATGAAATTATCTACGGATTTCAATTATAAATCAAAGCTGTCCTTTATGGACCGAGTCCCAGGTATCGGCTTCTTAGTACCTATAGTTTGTATGTAGACTTAGTGGAATACTCACCGAGTACTGAGAGCGTATGGGTAACAGTGTCAGTTCCGAATTGATTGTCAACATGGCACGAATATTCGCCGGCGTCCTCACGAGCTACGCCAGCAATCTGCAGGGATCCTTCAGGCAATTGACGCACACGTTCTGACGCTTCCAGGGGATGGCCTTTCACCTTCAATTATAAATATTTATTCGTGAACAAATACGAATTGAAGTTAATCACCAATTAACTCGTCGAGTACTGGTTTTATAGACACAATTAAAGAACAATAGGTCGCGGTCACCGGTGACCGCTTGGTGTTTGACAGATTAAATAGTATGAGTTTCTTGAAATACCTTCCACAAAATGTTAGGAGGAGGAACACCGACAGCAAGGCAGGGCAGTTTGACATCTTCCTTGTAAGTAGCGGTGAAAGATTCATCGAATGACGCGATCTTGGCGGGAACTGAATGAAATAAATATTATAATAATAATAACGAAACTATACGCAAATAAACCAATTAACATGCTTGTAGTGGTTGCGTACCTTTGTCACTTGGGCTGCAGGAAGCAGTGGCTGAGGGTTGGCCTTCGCCGATGATGGTAGACGCGGTGACCCAGAAGTCGTAACGGCCGGCTTTCAGTTCAGTTGCCGAGTAGCTAGTTTGAGAAGCTGGTACCTTCATAACAATTACATGAAAAGTTAAATATTATCCATAAATCTATTAGTAGTTTATTTGTGTAGTGAGACAGCAACTGACCTTGTTGGGATGGGGCTCAGCATTCTGTGCCTGAGTGTAGACATTGTAATGAGTAACAACACCATTGGGTTGCGCAGGAGGCCTCCATGATACCAGGATCGAGTCTTGTCCCATAACTAATGCTTTCACAGCACGAGGAGCTTCCGGTACTGGAATAAATCATAACACGTTAATAAACTCTCTTTTTGGACTATTCTGTGTTGATAAGTATGGAGGTTCGTACTCACCATCTTGTTCAGTTTGGCAGTGAATAGGAGCAGATCGGACGCCATCGCCTCCGTTGGTAGTCGCAAGCACTTCCATAGAGTAGTTTGTAAATTTCTTAAGTCCGTGAAGGATAGTTTCGCTGCTGGCCGTAATCTTAGTGTCCTTTGACTTTTCATCTACAAAAAATGTTAGTATAAAGTATATGTACCTATTAATTATGAAATCAAAATATGAAAATTAATTTATAGTAATCTTCTTATTACAATTCCAAATTCTGTGTGATACTTACCATACCAAGTTTCGCTAGGTCCGTAAATCACTTTGTAAGCCTTGATAAGTCCGTTAGCAGCAGCAAGAGGAGGGGATACCCATGATACACGGATTGTTTGCGCTGTAAGAGTAGTGCAGAGAACGTCTTGGGGTGGAGCAGATGGGGCGCCTTCAGCGGTATAAGCTCGTACTTCTCCGGACACGGGGCCTGATCCCATCTTGTTAAACGCTTGTACTACAATGGCATATTGAGTGTAAGTCCTGGAAACAGATTTATTTTTAGTTAACTTGTTCGTTAAAATTGTTAAACGATATTTTGTATTACTATCAGTAGCAACAAAGCCTCCAGCCTGCCTGATAGTAAGCGTACCCAACTAACGCACTAGTGTACAACACCAGGGGTGCATTAGCGACTATGTAAGATATTGTTGATCCGCGCCATTATTGATAGCAGCGCGACGCTTGCCGCATCCACTTTTGTGTATGCCGTTCATAACTATAATCTCTGCTCTACTAGTCCAGTTACCTTGTCGAATAATTATTATTTTAGTTCAAACTTACTTTAAGTTTAGAATGTCCAGGTGATGTTCCTTGCCAGATTCCTTAGAGATGTCAACGGTTTCAAAGACGAAAGATTTGTTGCTAGACGCCAGTTTGTAACCAACATAGTATCTGTAAACATATTAAAAATGTATTTTAAAAAAGACCTCTTTTTTCGTTAACAATACGGTATGATTAGGGGATCAATTTGTAATTTACCCTTGGAGGTCACCGTTCCAGTCTTGTGGTGGGGGAGGCTTCCAGGTGACGCGGAGGGTGTGCTTATCAACGGCATCAACTTTGCAGTCTTGTGGGGGACCAGTAGGGGCTTCTTCAGCGGTTATAATGGTAACAGTCTCAGATGGCTCAGAAGTTCCCAGTTCATTCTCAGCAACGATCCTGATGTGGTAGGCGGTGGCGGGTCTCAAGCTAAAAACTCCGGCTTCAGTCGTATCTCCGGGTACAAGAACTCTGAAAAAATAATACAGTTGGTTAATAAAATGCAGTATTATTTACACTCTTTTTAGCAAAATAGATTGAAAAATTACCTGTCAATGTCTTTTTCCCAGTTACCCTTGGCTCGTTTGTATTCAATGAGGAACTTCTTGATTGGAGAATTGCCATCATAGGGAGCCGCCCATGACAGTTGTACGGTCCTTCCAGATTTGTCCAAAACTTTAAGGCCATAGGGAGCTTCGGGTACCTCTGTAAAATGATGAAATATTCTTATAAGCTCTTTGAAAATATTTTATTTTACTGGCAGCGAAATTATACTGATATGTTAAACTAACCTTGAATGATCATGTTAATGCTGGTATCATCGGAGCCAAATGCGTTGGTAGCTACACAAGTGAAAAGAGCGCTATCTGATCGTTCAGTCCTTCGGATGCTAAGGTCAGAGACAACACCACCGGGCAGGATTTCTTCGCGAATAGTGTATCGTGGGTCAGATTTGGGTTCGAGGCGTTTGTTGTTCATGTTCCAGATTATTCCAATTGGCTGTAATATAAAACAGTAGCGATATTAAATAATGCCTGAGCTACGTCAAAATTTTAGCTTAGTTGAAAATAAGTTACCTTTTCTCCTTTAGCTTGGCATTGCAGGACAGCGGGTTCACTTCGGCGTGCAGTCTGATTTCTCATTTTAATTTCGAATTGGGGTGGAGCTAAAATTATACGCAAACACTTAATATTGCATTATTATTACGAGTCATAGTTTTTATTGAGCTCAGATTAACAATGCAAGCTTACCTTGAACGCTAATCAGAATAACAGCCGATAGTCCTGAACCGATTCCATTCACAGCTTCGCACAAGTAGTATCCTTCATTGGTTTTCTGAATATTAGCAATAGTCAATGTTCCATCCTCAACTTTTACGTTAGGGTTGTTTGGCTTAAGATCTTTGTAATCGCCAGGGGTGTCACCTAAAACGAAACGACGACACAAGGTATTTTACTTTCCATTATCTAATAATTACTTTGTATATTAAAAAAAAAATTATGTATTTATTTTATTACCTTCAGCCCGTTTCCACGTCACTTGGGGCTTAGGGAACCCATCGGCTTTACATTCCACTTTGGCATCAGAGCCTTGTGCAAATGCCTTATCAGTGGGTTCAATAATCCAGCGGGGGGGAACTGAAATATTACCATTTTGTTATAGAACGTGTCTTGTTGCCTTCATATGTATGGGACCAAAATTACATATTAAACTGTTCTTTCAATATCCTCTTTTATTTTATTTGATGAGGATTTATAGTTTATGATTTTCAAATATGAGAATTAAATTCGCTATATTATTTTTAAAAGATATTATTTGTACTCGAATTTCAGTAAACAAAAAATTGAAATCTTATAAGAAGAAAACACTGAGTTATTATTAAACTTTGAATTTGATTAAATTTACTTTAAATTGTAATTAAATCTATTTCGAAAAACTAGAGGGGCTTTGTTCTTTAAAAACAATAACTGTTTAAGTATATTTGAAAATTATTGTAAAAATGAGGACAGGGTTAAATTCTCCTGTGTGAACTTTCATCATTAACATGAAAATATATATGTATTAGATTTCTTGGCTTCTAAACTTGGACGTACAATTTTTATTCAAATATACTTAAATATGTATACATTTAAAAGCTTTTATAACGACTAATCAAATGTCATTTGAATTCTATGCACTACACACATTGTGTATAAGCTTTTATAAATATGTAATACTCATAGTGGATATATCATTGTATATGTGCTTTAAGGCGCCGCCATAGTAGCTTTTAAATGAATTATAATATTTGAATGCTAGCAAAAAAAAATAAATATATATAGGCATATCAAACTACAAACCAAATAATATTAAATTGGAGTGTATAAAAATAAAACAATGATAAATAAAAAGCAGAATTACATTTCACCAAGTCCACCATCAAAACATTCAAAGCGCGGTACAAATATAAACAAATAATGTCAACAGACATTATAAAGTTAGTAAGCCAAGCAACAAGCTTTAAATTAATGGCAATAACGCAAATTATTTTAATGAAACAAATATAAAGAAAGGAACCCAAAGGAGAGGATGGTATGAGGATAAAATTAAATTGCACGGATAGGAGGAAAGGGTACGTCGATGATAGCCGCAGCCGGTTCCTAAAGCATTCGAAAAGACTGATCTAAACTCAGTTTTCAGATTTTAACTTTATTGCATTAAAGTATTCACCAAAACGTGAACGACTTTCAAATGAAGACATTTAAGAATAAAGTGAGATTTGAGAAGAATTCGTTTCACTACGGATCAACGGTACCTATTTAGAATATTATTTATCAAAAGTAACGTAATAATTAAAGCATACAATATCGAATCTACGCAAAGCTGGTCCGTGCTAGGATTGAAGGGTACACAGATGCGTGACGGTACCATGGACTTCTAGTGAGGCGGTATAGTTGGACATGCCAGCGGCATTTCGCGCGATACACGCATACAATCCGCTGTGCGACCAGCCTGCTGGGTCGATCAGAAGCAATGAAGCTCTCTGCGCTATTTTAGTTGCCGTCACGCCGGCTTTCTCCTTCAAAGGTTGCCCTTCAAAGTACCACTGAATATCGAGAGGTTGATCGCCCTCCGAGACCAAACATGTAACTTGACTGGCTTGCCCCGCAAACAGCGGGGTCTCGAACGAAAATGGAACTATGCGAGGCAGTACTGGAAATAACCAAGATTTTTGGATTAGGTCGATTAGGATACCATCGAGGCAGGCAATGTTAGCGAGTAATGACAGAGAGAGGTATAGAATGGTGACTGTGAACGGTTTCTCCTTTCAGGTGCGATATTGTGAGGTTAGTTCCCATATTAACGATTCAGTCGGCATCATAGCATTAATAGATTCAGACGTGCCGTTGACGACGAGTGTCGCTGCATATTCTGCGCGGCCGGCCGCATTCTGCACGATGCACGTGTAGTTTCCTTGATGGTTTGCGCTCACGGAGTTGATAGTGAGGATAGAGGCACGAGGATTTAGAGGCATAGTTGTGATGTCTCGCTGGAGGCTCGAGTCTATAGTTTCGCTGCTGAACGTCCATGAGATGTCGAGAGGAAGATCTCCCTTAGTGGCGACACAATTCACTAAAGCTGTGTCACCGGGGTTGAATGGCACCTCACCGAAATTGAACGGCATTATCAACGGTGGAACTAGGACAGTAAAAAATTTATGGTACAGTGAAAATGCTTTAAGGAAATGAAAGTTTTAGGTTAAAAGGACGGAAGCGTAAAAATATACACTTTTGTTCGCACCCTTTACAACCAAATCGGTAGTATGTGACACGATTCCCGCAGCATTACTCGCAGTACAATTAAAAAGTCCTGCGTGTGTTGCATCCACGGACTCTATTGTCAATACACTACTTCTTCGGTCGTTGTTACTAACACGCACTCCAGGAATAGACTTGGCAGATTGGTTATTGACCATCCATTCAATAAGAACCGGTTGATCCCCATGAGTTACAATACATTGAAGAGCAAAGTAATCCCCAAGAAAAGCCGGTTCTGGGCCGGCAGTGAAAGGTGCAATCTTGGGAGGAACTGAAACAAAGTTTATCTAAATGTCAAAATAATAAGTTGCTACCATAGATGAGACTAACCATAAACAACTAAATCTGCTGAATGGGTACTACGGCCAGCACGATTCTCCCCGATACATGTATAAGAACCAGCGTGTATAGCGTCCACAGATTCTATTATTAACAAGCTACTCCGCTTTGAACTGCTCACAACATAGTTATTATTCCTTTGAGATATGGATTGTCCGTTAAACATCCAAGTGATTGTGAGCGGAAGGTCACCATAATTAATAGTGCATGCAGCTTGTAAGTACTCTCCGACGTTGGTGGGTTTTTCGCCGAATGTAAATGGCAAAATATTGGGAGGAACTGGAATGTTATAATTAATTCAAAGTGAAATTGGATAGTTATACTAGATTAAATATTTGAGATATATGTTTCTAAAACGACAATGACACAAAATCTAATTTACCGAGCACCAGAATCGAAAAATAATTTAAGCACCGTTTATTATCAAAGTAGACGTGTGATAATGGACTCCCGCTTCGTTTTCCGCAACACAAGTGTAGTTTCCAGCGTGATTGTGGGCTACTGAGGCTATGCTTAGAATAGCACTTCTCTCGCCTATATTAAATACGGTTACTCCAGATCTGGGTTTAATAGGTTCGTTGTCAAAGAGCCATTTTAATCGCAGTGGATGGTCTCCCTCAATAACAGAGCAGGGGGTCGTTACTACTTGTCCAGAATTCATTGCAACTTCGCCGAAAGAGAAAGGTTGGACCACAGGAGGAACTAAACAGAAAGCAAGCACATCCGAGCTGTAACGTTTCAGTACCAATAACATTTAGAAGAACGGTGTGAGTGGTGATGCCTGCCCTATTCGCAGCTGTGCACGTGTAGTTGCCACTGTTGGGTCCCAGGGCGGTGGGTATATCAAGAACGGATACACGTTCGCTTAGAGTTGTAGTCTTTATGCCCATTCTGCGGGAGACAGGATGCCCTTGAAAGCTCCAGGAAATGTTCAGGGGTGTATCGCCTTTTGAAACGTGACAGTCGAGGTGCACAGATTCTCCCGCAAATACGGCTTCGTCTAACTCGAAAGGTTTGATGTGAGGGACGACTGAGTAAAGAAAATATTGTAACGTTAGTAAGTATGTAGGTATATAAGGCGCATGCTGTGACATCTAGCGGAAATACCCTTAATGTTGAGTGTAGTGGAATATCTATCTTCTCCCGCTCTATTCCTGGCGATGCAGGTATAATTTCCACTGTGGGCTCCGGTCACAGATGCAATAGTCAAAAATGATGTCTGCTCCGCCATTTTCATAGTTTTAATTTCCATATGAGAGGAGAGATCTTTTCCTTCAAAGGTCCATGTTATAGACATCGGTCGGTCTCCTTTACTGGCGTGACAGGTCATTTGTACTGATTCTCCGTAATAGATGGATTCTTCGATTTCAAACGGTAGTATATGGGGAGGGACTAATAATAAAAGAAAAATGTGATTTCTAAAAGTAAATCTAAACGTGCAGTATATCTATACACATATGGATCAATTTTCTTACAGTAGCTATTGTACTAGGGGAACACATCCAATACCATGAATATTGACGAGGACAGAGTGATATGCGCGTCCGGCTCTGTTACTGGCCGTGCATGTGTAGTTGCCGCTGTGTTGGCCCATAGCAGTTGGAACACTCAACACTGAAGCTTTTTCTCCTAACTTAGTTGTGGTTACGCCCATATTATTGTGGTAAGGAATTTCATGGCCTTCAAAACTCCAAGATATTTGAAGAGGTCGATCGCCTTTCGATACATGACAAGTAAGGTGCACGGATTCACCAGCGAATATAGATTCTTCAACTTCGAACGGAATAATGTGAGGTACAACTTGAATAAAAAAGAAAAAGTAATTGTAAATGAAGAATCTTACGAAGGTAACAAGGGAAACCAGAGAGGAATAGTAATAAAGATTCTACCTAATAATACGAAGTAAACCCAAACACGTCTCTGTGAACGATGCTATTTTATGGAAGGTCCGAAAAGAAATCCTAGGTTGCATACATTATTAGTTGTACCTATAGAAAAATTTGCTACTCCATGGCATCAGTACTTAAAATTAGGAAAAGATTCAATTCGAGAGTTGTGTGTTATTCTTTCAGCATTACTAACAACAAAAGTAAGTAAGGGACGAAAAATGATAAACAAAAAATAATAATGTTTGCTGCTTTTAGATATGCACACAGAACTCATGCTAATTCTGCTAGCAAATCTTAGAAACATTGTGTCACTATGACGAACTTAAACAAAACATGAACTACCATGAATAAATGAAACTGACCATGAACATTAAGAACAGTGGAATGATTTGTGGAACCGGCTCTGTTAGTAGCTACGCAGGTATAGTTGCCACTGTGGCTAGCGGTTGCCGCAGATATTGACAAAAATGATGTACGCGATGTCATTTTGTTCGTCATAATATCTAGATGTGATGAAGTATTTTCGAACCCATGAAAGTGCCATTTGATGTCGAGAGGTAAGTCACCCTTGGAGACATGACAGTTAAGTTGCACTGGTTCTCCAGCAAACACCGATTCGTCAGCTTCGAAGGGTACGATGTATGGCAACACTGTTAATTTAGAAGGATATACTTATTGCGTAGTCAAGCTTGTGGCGTGCGAGAGGCTAGGACTGCTAACGGGCTTTGGGAGTACCATGGACATTAACTGTGGTCGAATGAACTGCCAGGCCAGCGGCGTTAGCGGCATGACAAGAATATTCGCCGCTGTGGCTAGCTTGTGAACTAGATATCGTCAACAACGATGTCCGTTCGCCAATCTTCATTGTAGCTATTCCTTGATGCGAAGATAATTCTTGGCCATGAAAACTCCAATTGATTTTTATAGGTACATCGCCTTTTGATACATGGCATCCCAATTGTATTGATTCGCCGGCAAAAACAGGCTCTTCGGCCGAAAATGGTATGATGTGAGGAGGAACTGGTGAGGGCAAACAAAATACAAAAATAAATAAAGTAGGTAATGGTAACACACGAGAACAACTTGTGTACCCTGAACATTTAATGTAGCTGTGTGGTTGGTGCTTGCTACAACATTGGAAGCTGTGCATGTGTAATTTCCAGTATGTTTTTCGGTTGCAGCCGGAATGGCAAGAATAATACTTCGTGCGCCTACTTTCGTGATAACAACTGCGTCAGATTTTTTTAGAGGGTTATCTTGAAACGACCATCGTAAGTCCAATGGCATATCGCCTTTCGGTATATGGCACATAACCTGTATGCTTTCGCCGTAAAATACGGCCTCATCGAACTCGAATGGGGAAATAATCGGTGCCACTGAAAGAGATAGTCAGTTTGGTGACAGAGTTGTGAAACTAATTACATATATCAACAATAATATAATTTGCCATAGGAGTGGTGGGAGAAATAATAAAACAGGACTCAAAAGCATAGACATTTCACCGAGACGATGTACCCTTAACATTGAGCGTGGCGTGGTGGCTAGCACTGGCGACAAGGTTAGAGGCGGTGCATGTGTAATTGCCAGAATGTTTAGCCGTCACCGCCGGGATTATGAGAACTGAACCCCTATCGCCCGCGTTCATGATGTTCAAACCGGTTAGTGAACTCACATCTCCACCGCTAAATGTCCACTGGATATTTAAAGGTTTATCTCCTTTTGGTACATGGCACATGACTTGAACACCCTCTCCGTAAAACACAGATTCATCAAATTCAAAATGAGTGATAACTGGTGCCACTGAAATGTATTTACTGAGAAATTAAAGTTTTGAACGTTTTATCTTCCGTTTTGTTCTTGAATAGAAGAGACAATTTATGTCCCGCCAAAGTACAAAAGGTAAAAATAAGTTATAAAAACTAAACAACACAATCTAGCAGGCTTAAATGCTTAACGTAGATACCATTGACGAATAACTCCGCAGTATGATTCATGGTGCCAGCCTCATTCTTTACCACGCAAGTGTAATTCCCTTGATTCTCATGGCTAACAGAATCTATGTTAAGTTGACTTGATCGTTTCATGTTCACTAAATTGATTCCGATATCCCCAGAGTTCACACGTTTTCCGTTGAAAAACCAAGTTATTGTTAAAGGAAGATCACCCTTAGTGACAGCACACGTAGCCAAAACCATTTCTTGGGCATTTACTGGTCCCTCGCCAAACTCAAAATGTTTTATCTGTGGAGGGACTGAAGACCAAAATATATATAATAATTAACAAAAAAAGATAGCTCGTGATCCCTAGAACAAATTTAATGTAAGTGGATTTTTTAAAAGTAAATTAAAATGTTTATGAAATTCAGAAGAAACTTTTTGTTTTATACACCATTGTGTGATGTTAGCAACTAATACTTCAATTGTAAAATAACATATATTATATTATTATATCTATCCACAGATGGGTAAAATATCACGCAGAAAATGTGTAGGATAGGTTGTGTAAGGAAAATGTATGAGTCACAAAAATACACCAATAAACTAAATAAAAATACGAGTTCGTGCGGAGAAAAGCTAAACAATGTTTGCTAGTGTTTGTTTTAGTACCATTGACGTTGAGTACTGCAGTATGGCTACTGCGACCGGCTTCATTT